CATACTCAGGATACATGCATTCGTTTATTTGATTGTGTCTAAAAGTATATTATAAAGTAATTTTTCCCTTGTTTTCTCCAATTACACAAATAGGCTATCAAATCCAGTCAGCCATGAAAATGGATTAGCATAAACGGCGTCCCAAAAGACAGCTCATGGGAACGCGCGCATTTTCTAATATATATATACAGTATATTTATTTATATATTTATATAAATATATATTTCTTGTGTTTGAATAAAAGTGAATAATATTTGGCATGTGGGTGTTGAGAATATTCAATTTATCTCTTCTTAAAATCTCTATACTATTCAGATATTCCGATAAAGTTTTTTAGGCTTTGCTCACTAAAGGTACGAACCGATTTGCGATATGTTGCTAAAGTTATTCTAGGTTTTATTTGGCTATATTTATATTATATATTCAAGTATATCTATATAAAGAAAAGAATTAATACAATGGTTATATTGGATTATTAACAGTATACAAACTCCTTATGATTCTCATGCCGTCATTTAGCTGTCAATGCTTGAATGCATTGTCTGATTGTCAAACACTATACGTCCAATTAAGCCTTTAAATGGCTAAATTTTTTTTTCCAAGCTTCTTCTTTTCCGTCCCTCTTCTATGAAAAGAACCAATAGTTCCCTATTGATCCTCCCTCTTTGTTAGAAAGAATAAAAGAAAAAAATTCTACCTCCATCATTTTTTTAATTTATTCTTTTATGTATATAAATAATAGTTGGAGGACATATAGAACATAGAATACACGTTTATTCCTACTTTAACGGAGGAGAATCACTGTCTTATCTCTAGTGTAAAATAGATTAGGGTCTACATAATTTTTTTCCTAAATAGAGATTTCATAAAGGGGAATTTTCTTCTTCTTTTGCTCTCTCTCTCTCTCTCTCTTGAATAATCAAGCGACTCATGCCTGAAATTGGGTTTAGAATTCAGGTAATATAAGAAATTATTTACAAACCTTCAAAGGAACTGCTCACTGCTTGAATTTAACAGTATTTCGAAGAGGATGAAATGTTTTTACTATGTATAATAAAATACGCACATTTCCTTATTTGTATAATTTATTACCATTTACGGTACTTGTTTTAACTTTTTTTATAGCTAATTCTAAACGTTTACCTATTTTTTCTATTTTATATATTTGTACAATTTATTTATAGAGAAAGGCAAAACAGAGAGAAAAGAGACTGAAACGTTATTTTAATTGAATATAAAATGTTTTTAGTATAGTATAGAAAGATAGAATAATATTCATGAATTTATCATCATCTGCATTGAATTTATAAAATCGTTTACTAAATCAATTTACTCTTCTTCCTTCATTTTATCATTCTTTGTTTTATTTTGTTATTTTTTTATCATAATGCATTTACTTCATTTTTTATTATGCGTTTTTAATTCATTTCTAATAGATTTTTAAATGGTAGAATGAACATGGAAACTTTATAAAAGTTTTACTAAATTTTTCGGTGTTTACTTTAAAAGATGCGTATTATTGTAAATATCTAAAGGAAAAAAAACTGTTTTCAATTTATATAAAAGAGAAGATTAAGAGCCACTGAATATACAATTAAATTCTTTTACCTAAATTGTAACTGCGTCATCTATTTCATTACATTTTTCAACTTATAATTTCATACTTTACAAAGTACTTATAAGCTCTTCAATCATTATTCTTATCACTTTCAAAAATCGCTGGTTTTTTATTTTACCTCCTCTATGGATTAACGGATTAATGAGAACATTTAGATTATATCTAAAACTGAATTAACAAATCGTTAAGATTTCTTCAGTTATGTCAATAAGCTGCCTTGACAGCGGGCCCTGCTATGAATAATTAATAGTCGTTCAAGCGGACAATCCATGCCATGAGAACTTTGAAAAACTTGAACAATCTAACCTAAATGCCACCCTCAAAATATTTTCATGTATATACCTAAAAATTATATCTGGGTCACGTGACTTCCGATAAAAATTCTCGTTGGGCGGCGCTCTTTTATGAAAAGAGGGATTTTTCAAACGTCTGCTGAGAGCAGTGCTAGGAAGTGTTTGAATATATTTATACATAACTCTTTATACTAGGGAAAAAATGTCGTGTGCAAGGATAACATTAATTTTAATGCTTTTTTCATCGTCAAAAGCATGGCACTGTTCAAGAAGTGAACCATTGGGATTGATCACTGAAGATATACGAAGTTGGCAAATATCCGCTTCGAGTTCATACCCAAATCGCTGGGATAGATACTGCTCAACAAACTATGCCAGAGTTTACGAAACTGGAACAAAGGCATGGTGCGCCAAGAGAAAAAGTCCCTCCGAATGGATTCAAGTAGACTTGGGTGTGGCGGCAAGTATAAGCGGTAAAAGAATTTTATTATTACTACTTTTTTTCAAAATTATTTATATTCATAAATATCAGTTTACAAATGTTGTTCTCTTTTCCACTTTACTCTTCTTCAATCTGTTTTTACCTCTCCCCCTCCCTCTATTCCTCTTCTTTTTCTTCCCTATTCTATCGAATCTATAAAAATCCATCAAACAAATAGAAAATTAGTTGATTGCTTGTTTTTTCAAAAGCAAATATTGAAGTCATCATTATCGAATAAGTGCGAAGTAAAACTTTTTTTTCTATGTAAATAAATCTTATAATAAAAGCAAAACTTTAAAAATGAACTGTTTAAAATAATCAAAGTTATATTGTTAAATGAAAAAAGTCTGTAGTTCCTTTCAGACAAGAGTAGAAAACACATAAGTAAACGGTTAATATAAATATTTTTGAACAAACGGAATCAAGCTATGTTTTTATTTGTTCAAAGAGAAAAAAGTAAGAGAAAGAGAGAAAGACAGAAAGTGTTGAATACATATATATATATACTGTATATTTATAATATATGCATATTTATATGAAATCTTTAAAAACATCTTATAAAAAGTAAGCTTTCTTTTTGTAGTTTATTTTTAAATAGTGTAAACTTGTTAATAGCCGGAAATATTTGAAATAGTTGAGCTTTTTTTATGTTTTTTTTTTACAACTATTCAACTTTTTACAAGAAGAAATTAAAGAGTTAAAAGCTTAGAAAAACGTAATATGCAAATAGTAAGCTGAAGCGTGTGAAAACGAAAAGTATTTAGAGAGCGAATGTGTTTATACAGAATTGAGAGTCATGCGCTCTATTAAACTGCTTATTATTACTACTATATTAAGTATTAGCAAAAACTAAGCAAAGTCATTAATAAATATTCTATTTGTTATTTTATTATATAAACAATAAACTTTTTTGAATTTCTTAAATATATATTTCAGCCTAGACAATTTCTTTCTCTCCCTATCATCTCCATTAACATCCTTTTCAATCCTTTGAAGCTTCTTCTTCATTCGTCTTGACGTTCTTGATAAGGTGAACAATGGTGAAATTGAATTTTGAGCAATTACTACTAAGGCCTAGTTCTCCTTTTCAAGCGACAAAGTTTCAATTGTAACATTTTTATATAGGCGAATAATTAATGCGATCTTTTTTCTTTATAAATATAGTTTATTTAAGCGACATAGATTTTAAGTTGTCTTTTCCTTTGTCAACTGCAAAATATACAGCATGTCTGTTGGTAATAAATCAAGCATTGTTATGGAAATTTGCAAGAAAAGAAGCACTTCCTCTTTAATGCTAATTTAATTTCACATGCCATTTAGAGTTTAATAAAGCGTATAAGATTCAAATAGTTAATAGTTTAAAGGAATTTTTGATTAATTTATAAATCCCTTAACAAAATCCTAATTTTTTTAAGTACCGTATAAAAATATAGGTGAATAGGTTAAAAACTGTGCAAATTATCGGTTAAGGTATCGTTTAATGCGCATATATACAGCTTAAAGGATATTTGTTTATAAACATAAAAGCAATCACAATTTATAAGAGAGCAATAGATAGAGAGATAAAAAAAAAGAGAGAGAGAGTGACTATGAGGGAAGGTAAAGGGAAGATATATCTGCTATATATATATATATATATAAATACCCTATATATCATTTTTAAATATTTATTGACAGAAATAGCAATACCAGGCAACGATTTAGTATCATTTTATCTGCATAAAAACCCAGTCTAGGGTGTGTGACTATCCATAAAATTTTCCTCATCAAATAGTAAAGTTTATTATTCAATAGATAAAAAACATTCAACTAATAACATTTAAACGTTCTTGTTTAAAATTGATTTTTATAAGGGATGAAGAGTAGTCTTTTTTAATTATTTCCCCCTAAAGCGACGTCCCTACCGCTCTTTTATGGATGCAAACTATAATTGACACTTTGTGCTTGATAATTTGATCTCCTATTGTTGATCAGTATTTCTGTCAAATTTACAAATACCTTATATCATATACGGTATAGAAATCAAGTAAATTAGTTAATTGTAAGTAAAAGGTTAAAGGTACAGAATTAGTTATAAAAAGGTTGAAATATTTTCTCAAGACTTGAGAAGGTTATATAAACTAACTATGGGCTGAAATCAACGTCCTTTTGACAGGTAGAGAATAGCTTCAAACTTCAAAGCTGTTTATAATACGTTTTAAGCGAAAATCTTTACCAATCTAATAGAACTTTGAATGAATGATCAAAATTTCTCTATATTTTACCAATAAACAACTATTGGTAGGCGGTAAATGTCCTCAAAGTATCAAATTTTTAGACGGTCACGTGACGTTCAACAGGATTTAATATTATAAAACGAATATCATATTGTGTTCATACTTGTATATGTGTGCTTGTGTGTGTGTATGTATGTGTGTGTATGTGTGTGCATTATACAGTATATATATATACATATATATATATGTATATATATATTTATACACTCTCTATTTATATACGTATAGCTGACATTTAAAGTTTGATATATCATACTTATGTATATAGAAAAATTGAACAGGCTCTCACTATAAACTCATTCAAAAAACTTAATTACAAACCGTTCCAAAATAAATATAACAACATCACGTGACAATGGTTTTCTATATGATTCAATAGACCCGTATGATTTTTCACGCAAGGTAAAGTGGTAGAGTAAGTAAAAATAATGGGATGAAACGAAAATTGAAAAGAAATAATGTGTAAAAAGAGCATGATAGATAAGAGAGAAGAATAGGTTGGGTGAAGATATTTAAAGAAATCAATCTCAAAGCGAAAAGCTCGCGAGTCGTTAAAAACGAAAAGAACCCATATAAATAAAACGTTCTATAAAGTTTTCTAACATATCGTTCATCCGATGCGCACTTGTCAAAAATGTTCACTTCAAGCTTTGAATTGTTGACTTGGCCTCTAATTTTCGTTGTCATTTAAATTCATTCATTTCTTTCAGGTGTCATGACCCAGGGTCGTTGCGACGGAAGAGAATGGGTAACTTCCTTTAAGATTTCCTATAGTCACGATGCTTTCCACTGGAAGTATGTGAATGATGCATACGACAATCATCGGCTTTTCGAGGGCAATATCGACTCATGTTCAGTCAGGCACTCGTACATTGATAAACCAGTCATTGGGCGATTCTTAAGATTCCATACTATCAGTTGGAAGGGACATCCGAGTATGAGAGTAGAAATATTAGGATGCCAACGTAAGTATAACAGTTTTCAGTCACTAATAGAAGTTTTATTAAGCGCCTTTTTTATACGTTATAGAACATTTAGGCGCTTTCAATCCGTCAATAGGGCATTTATCATACATAAATCGTAAGACGTTCGCCAAGAGTTTTTATACACAGTTGACTGTCCGTTAATGACAGTATCTTGTATGCTCGAAAAACTTTCAAGTGACTTAATGATTAATTAATATTAGTTATTAACTAATTTATTGGCCAATGAATTAATAATTTATAAAGCGATAAACAACATTCTTAAGGAATATATTCTCTTTTTCTTATTCTTTTGTGTACAAAATAATATACTATAAGGGGGCGAAAAAAGGATATATCTTTGTAAACAAACTCTTGATAACTGTTATCTATCAAATGGTCGATTTGTTTTATTATTAGATGGAAATATTTCACTAAAAATAGCGGCCTGTTTCGGCCGGTCGATATGCCACTTTGATCACGTATGATTAAAAGCTTATGCGAGATATTTATCTACAAATGAATAACAATTCTTAAAGAACACCTTTTAAGCATATTCGACTTGTAAAACATGCAAAATTTAATTTTATAACAAACAACTTACTTCCGTTTCTTTCGATATTAATGCAAAAGAGAAAAAATAAACTCAAAGAAAAACACGAGATGCTCTTTTTGCATTACATTATTACATATTTAAAGCAGAAATTTAAATATATAAAGGTTAAGGATCAGCTGCGAAAGAAGTTTCTTTTGTTAGAGAAATCCGTCTTGAGAGGACCATTTATATACTCTACTAAATAAGTTACAAGGAAAAAGGCCTAATAAAGAATTTTTAAGAATCAAATGCAAACAAATCTCAAATAATATTCGTGCGAAAGAGCTTCAAATATTTTGTTGCAAATATTTAAACGGAAACTTATACTGTAACTGATCATGACAAAATTAAACTATTTATAAATTCTGTCCTATTTTATGCGTATGTAATGATGAGGAGGCGAAGGGGGGTGGGTGGAAGGGAAGAGGAGAAGGAAGACGGAGAGAGGAGAAATAATACTCTATATATAAACAGGAAACAGTTTCCTTAAGTAGTTCTATTTTTCTTTTTGATGTTTAACAAGAAACCAGCAAAAGAGGATCCAATATCAAATAATATATACAGTAATATATATTATTTTGGAGAGAGAGAGAGCATATAAATGGCCTTGAATGACAAAAAAAAAGGTTGAACTGGTTGCAATATTTTTTTATTAAAAATTTATTAAAAATTTTTTCTCACTTTTAAATGTCATAAAATCGGCTAGTCGAAGTAATAAAATACTTTTAGATTGCGCTTAATTCATATATAAGAGAGAGATCTTATTTTCTTTGTGTTTTTACAGCTTGTAAACAGCCTTTAGCGTTGCCGCCTTACGCCAAAACGACGGCTTCTTCGGAATCCTCACCTAATAAAAGAAATTCACCTTCCATTAGTGGAACTGCTCAGGATTCATATTTATTGACGAAGGGAGCTTGGTGCGCCCAAAAGAGTGACAGTAAATAATATTCTTTTTTAAATAGTTTTACTATATTTGGCTATAATTGAAACCGAAAAAAATTATGGGAATCTGTACGACAGATGTGTAGGCCTATATTTAGACAAATATTTTTCATTTCTAATAGATATAATAGGCTATTTTCGTAAACTCTTTTTTTAAAGGATATTTTAATATTTATATACATTTACGCCCATTTCCGCCTTAAATATCCTTACATACGTATACAAAGTAACTTTTGTAAAAGTTGGATAGCCATTCGGTTTCGTGGCGCCATCTCTTGTTTTAATGAATGACAGTAACTTTTGTATATCTTTTAAAGAACAACCCTGGTTGCAAATTGATGTTGGACCGCCTACAATACTCACCGCTGTCTCAACTAAAGGATTAGGAGAGTTTCGCAAGAAACGCTGGGTCACACATTTTAATATTTCTTACGCAAACAGTACGACTGGTCCGTGGTATAACTATTCTGAGAGTGGGAATGATTATTCCTTTACGGCTAATACAGACAAATATACAGAGAGACGTCACTATTTTGCGTCTCCTTTCAAGGCAAGATTCATTCGATTCTATCCTACGAAATGGAAGGGAAAACAACCTTGTATGAGAGCAGGAGTTTTCGGTTGTCCACAAAATGGAATTTGTCAAAAAGGTTATCTTCGAGTAGCAGAAGATTCTCCATGCGTCGAAAATATAGCTTACGGAAGAAAATCGTATGTCAATAATAAACGCCATTTTAAACGTCATGTCGGTGAATGGAGTGGTTCAAATCAAGCTCAAAGAGCCGTTGACGGTGATGAGAATCAGTCTATACACCATTGTACAATATTAGATAATTTCTACGTTTCTAGACCTTTTTGGATGGTGGATTTAGGACACAGTACACCTATTTCAGGTGTTGTAATTGTAACTTGGCAGGGAAAGAATTTGAAAACAAATTCACCAGTTAAATCATCTTATTACGATTATATGAGAAATTTAAGAAAGTTAACAGTATACGTTAGTTCAGAAAAGAGAAGATCGAAAAAGGTAGAAAAAATTGCAAAGGAATCGAATAAATGTGGTTATGTTACAAGCGTTAATGAAGCCCTTTTCCAACGACGAATACATATTGAATGTATGAAACCAATGAATGGTAGATATTTGTACATCGAAGCTGAAGGAGCTGAGGATAGATGGTCTAAAGTTTTTTCAGCGGTTTTGTGCGAGGTTATGGCTTACTCTTAACTGTGTTCAACTCTCTGTTTTTAAAGCGTAAATTGTAAAAATATTCTTTTTCTACAAAAACTTCAAACTACCAAAATTTTACATTGTTTTATCTTGTGACAGTTTTTTTTGCTATTTTTTTTATATTCCATTATTTAAGTATTAGATTATCTTACAATCTTTTCCCCTTTAGCAGTTAAATAGTGACCTCAATTAAAGATGCTTAGAAGACTTTTTTTTTTTACAGCTCTGAAACGAAAAAAGAAAAAAGTATGAACAAAAATTAAATCAATTAATTTTTTTCAATATCGAAGACAAAAACTTCTTATTTTAAAGAATTCATTGTAAATATTTTCTTCATCCATTTCATAGATTTTTCTTTTTTTTTTCTAGAAAATATCTTAACAGAGTTTTTAATTTTTGTGATAAAACGAAATACATTTAATTATTTTATCAAAAGAATTTTTTGCGTTATTTTTAAACTATAAACATAAAAATAAAGTGTTTTATAAGTTTTATATTCATATTTATTATAAATCTTTTTTTTATTAAAAAAAAAAAAGTTTCTCAAGACTTTTTTCTTCAAAAAAAGTTTCGCCTTTGTCCTTCTGTCTCTCTCCTTCTTGTCTAATTATTAAGCGATTGAAAATTCTGTATTTGTAATTTTCTAGTGATAGAGATTAGCAAAATTCTATTGTTTGGAGAATACATAAATTACTTCAATAGTAAATAATATGATATCTTTATCTAACACCTGTGATACACGGTTCAAAGTCCTAAATTGATGTTTTGATCTATTAGAGCATATTTCTATTTTTCTTTTGAAAACCTTAGTAGTTGTTTTTTTAGTAAGCATCGCAAAAATATGTATATTTTCTATAGTATTGTAGTAACAATGATAGAGTAATTACTGAAAATCCAAGATATGTTGTAACTTCTATGGAAGGAAATGACTAGTCAACATTTAATTTTCTAAAGTGCTGTAGAGGCTCTTCTGTTTTAGGTTTCAAAGTTTCATCATAGAATAAGGTTCTTCTATTCGTTTTCTGAAGAATTTGATCTCTTTCTGAAACTAAGACTTTCAATTGATCATCTGAAGAAAAGAAGTTTATAGATTTGATGAACATCAGTATATTCCAATTCTTCATTTACCTATAATCTTTTCAATTGTCCCAGCATTGGGACCAGAGTAATCGTCGGGTAAATATTCTAGAGGTAGCATTCGCTTGGGAATTACCTCATAAACTGACTCGAGAGTCTCGTGGACACGGATCTGATTATGTAAAAATCATGAAATAAATATTTTCCTGTCAAAAGGAAACAAACTAACTCTTTCTCTATGCTTCTGTTTCATGTAAGGTTTGTATAGAGCGAAGAAAGCTTCAAACAGTCCACCAACATTGTAGTAATGAAAACCCTTCATTCTTCCAACTTGAGCATTCTGCGTTTTAAAGTTTATACTAAGTTTTTTAGATTCTAAAAATTCAAACATCGAATAATCTCACCTGTGCCTCTTTATGATACTTCATCATGACAGGATCACTCAGTCCAGCAATTAATTTTAAGCTTAAGCCAGTCATATCGGCAAAAATTAGTATCCCGTTAACTTGACATATTTCATCAGACATCATTGATAAAAATGTAGCATTCCAAGATCTAATGAGTAACTCAGGTGACCACTTTTTTTTTATTTCACTGGGTGTGATAGCAGCTATAAGGTTAAAATTAAATATGTTAAATAAAACATTGAAACTTGAAAGAGAGTCAAGTAAAATGCATACTCAATCTGTAGAGAATAATTCTTCTCCCTTCGTCATCATAACCTGGTAAGACGACTATTTGTCTGATCAAGAGATAGATAAATAAGTAGTGATATAAGAAAAGGTTTATGACAAACCTACCCAAGTTTCAATACTTCTTGTAATTTCTTGTCGTGAGTATCAATGTCTGCTATAAACTGTAAATTTTTGCCAAAAAATTTTAAAACATTTTCAATCGTTTCTCTAGCTTTAGCTTGACTAAATTTCGCATGTCTTAGAAACCTTAGTAGATTACCGGTATCTAAAAAGGGTAAGGATTTATTTAAAGTATCATGGAGTATTAATATTAACATCCTACTAGTATCAATCCGTAAATGTTTTTGATCATTAACCCATTCTCTTAAAGCTTGAACAGCTGCCAATCTATCACTAGGTATTTCATTTAACTCATCTTTAGCTTTTTTTATAGATTTCTCATCTAACGAACACGTATAGTCGTCCTCCATTTTGCTGACACAAATCACCAAGTTTCTTGTAATTTATGCAAGATAGGCTGATCTTGTAATGTTGCGAAATTTATGTTAATGTTAAGAAATTCAATTACTTGAATGTTATGAATATATCATAAATTTATAATATAGTAATGGAATTTTTCGTTTGATTTAAAAAACAAAATATTAAAGTTACTTGAACGATAATATAGGAAATATAGAATGAATTGTTTCTTTAGGATAATTAAGCCTAGGTATCCCCAGGTAAATAAACTGCTTTTCTTATCGATTTTCACAAGCATATTGTGAAATATGGTCGTAAAAAATATGGCAAATTTCCTAACTCCATATAGATTAGGTGACTAATGGTCACAATTGTAGTTTTGGAAGTGAACACGTCAAGAATTGATGGCTATGACTAAACATTCTCAAACGTTAAAGAAAATAGAGTAGTTTTAAAATATATTTTAATTTTTGTAAATAAAAGAACATATATCATTGCACTATGTATTACTTATACATCTAATCAATATTGAGTTTTCTAAAATGTTGAAGGGGTTCAGCTGATGGTTTTTTACTTTCATCATAGGATATGTGCTTTGGATCAGTAAAATCTAGGATTTTCTCTCTCTTTTTAAGTATTGCGTCCGCTGTTTGAGCTGAAAAACAATTAAACTTAGAGACTTTTGCGAAGTAAAGAGATCTAGTGTATTCATTACCTCCAATCTCTACAAGAGATCCAGCTCTTGGTCCGTCATAGTCATCCGGTAAATATTCGTTAGGCAGCATTCTCTTGGGAATGTATCGATAAATTGATTCCAGTGTTTCATGTACACGTAACTATTAAATATGAGACCAATTGTAAATTATAGAAGTCATCTTTCAAGAAATATTCAAGATAATTTACCCTTTCCTTATGCTTCTGCTTCATGAACGGTTTGTACATGGAAAACATAGCTTCAAAGAGACCTCCAATATTGTAGTAATGAAAACCTTTTAGTCGACCTACTTGGGCGTTCTAGGTAAAATAATAAATCATTGTTGTTAGTAGTCCCAAAAAATATTACAGAAAAAAGTATTATATATAATGTATATACTGTATATACCTGACTGTCTTTATGGTATTTAATAGACTCTGGGTCATTAAATGTTGAAATCATTTTCAAAGTAACGCCGGTCATGTCGAAAAACATCACAACACCATTGACTTGAAACATTTCATCGTCCATCAGGGATATAAATACAGTATTCATGACTTTTACCATTACGGAAAACTTATAATCTCTCTTGTACTCGTCGAAAGGTATCATATCTAAGTAAGGTAGGAAAAAGTGTTAGTGCTGGCCTGATAAATCTACTTTAAAATTTGAATACTTAGTTTATATAGCATTACTTTTCTTCCATCATCATCATATCCAGGTAATAGCATAAGCTGACTATTTAAAAAGATATATTTTCAATATTTGATATGTTTAATGCAAAACAATAATTAAAAGTTACCCTCGTCTAAGCATTGACTGACATTTGTCATCTTCGGCATCCAAGTTGGAGAAATAGGTTCTAGACTTTGAAATAAACTTTGCCACATTCTCAATTGTCTCTCTTGCTTTAGCTTGACTAAACTTGCTGTGTCTCAAAATTCTAATCAAATTTAGCGTGTCTGTTAATAAACATAAATTAAAAAAAGTATTTAGCAGCATTTGAAAGATAAAATAAGTACAAACCTGTGTTGAATGTAAGATGCTTCTGCTCATTAACCCATTCCCTTAGAGCTTTAACAGCTGATAATCTATCGCTGGGTATTTCATTAAGTTCATCCTTAGCTTTCTTAATATATTTATCTTCCAGTGTACAGACATAATCGCATTCAGCCATGTTTCTCTTGTAAATGACCTGTCAGTTCCTAGTTTTCTGATACCAGTGTCGCCTCAGTCAAGACAATAATACTATTAATATTATATAACAATAAATAAACTCTTTCCTATTCCTTTTCAAGTAATTAATTATAGAATTATATAATTAAAACAACAAAAATATTTCAATATTTTTCCGAGTTAATTTTAACAAAAATTCATTATTTTTACTGAGCGATAATGTAATTGTTTAATGATTACAATTTAAAAGACTTCCTGATTAGTAGCACTCAGTTTAGTTAGTAGATTATTAATACACATTCTGAAGGTAATATAAACAAGATAGTCTAAATGTTAATGAAATACAAAAGCAATAACAATTAAAGCGTCTATATACTTGTAAGCTTTTAGTCATAATTATTGCGCAATTTTTTTAAAGAAGGAAAGGATTTATCATAAATATCGTTCAATAGAATATTAAACAATAGGCTTACACTATTTAAGGATGAAGAAGTAACAAAGAATAAGTAAGTCGTACAAATTAAAGATTCAGAAATAAGCAATAAACATCTTCAACAGTTACCAAACAGCTATTGAATGAAAAGAATAAAAAGTATCTGCTTCAAAAGTTCTTAATTTCTTTCGTCTACGCTTTTTAATCCTGTAATTTTCCTGGAAAATTTCCATAAAATATCCACAAAATTAACATAAGTATCAACACTAACTTTCAATCATGTTCTTCAGAAGAAAAATGGAAACATCACTTTTAATTTCTTATTATCTTTTATTAATTATCTTATTAAAGGAAAGAAATATAAAGTTTTTTGTTTAAACTTTATAAACATTAATAAGGTCAATAAACTAAAAATAACTCAAATATAATTTATGCTTTTTATTTAATCTCTTCCTGTGTTAAAAATACATTTTAACAAACTAACATGTACTTTTTACAAGTTTTTTTTGGCTTTACAATTGATAAAAGTATGCATTTATGAAATCATTTAAAGAAAGTATTTCTTTAATTAAAACTTACTTGCTCTTTGAACACATGTAGAAAAATTTAGAATACTTTTAAATGATATATAATCAGTACGAATCATTTACAATAACTCTTGGTATTTGTGTCCTTCTTATATCACATGCTAATAAATTATAGTCCATAATCATACATCGCAAATTATTAAGCCCAATCTCATTTAGATTGTTAAAGATCCTAATTAATCAAAATGAAATAGACAATCTGTTATAAAAAGTACCCCGGAGTATTTATCAAATACCTAATTAGTTGGAATTGATAGTAATGAATATTCATATTTAGTTATCATTAATATTACTTTATTATCAAATTTACTTAAAATCATGAAAGAAGTTTGAAAATTCTCTTTTATTGAGAAGCTATAAGCTTTTTAAAAAGTAATGAATATAATAAATGCCCTTAAAGTAATTTCTCTTAAACTTAATGATCGTATTCCATAAATTTTTGAGTCTTATCGAATAGACTATTCTATAATTATTCAAATATTTTAAGTAAAAGATACTGACAGATAAGATAAAATTTGAATAAAAAGTAAAAGTTTTGAAATTTCCTGTCAGATTCAATTTGATCACCAAACAGTAATAATATGAATGTTCTTAAGAAAACCTGTTTAATACTTTTTTTATTGGTAGCTGTCCTTAGCTACATACAATCTAAACCAAAGGTGAAATAGTAACTCTGTTTTCTTTGCTTAAATTAATAAATTTGTAAGTTATAAAGCAACCAATATGTAAGATATGATTATTTAGGGGGCAAGAGTCTTCTGCGACGATGGCTCAGCCTGTGACGATGGTGGAATGTGCTGCGAGGATGGTGGATGTTGCCCTCCCACAGCGAGAGTTTGTTTTTTAATAAACTAAAAAAGAGAAACGTATTTTCTAAATAGTTGACTTTTTTCGTTAGGTATGCTGCTCTGATGGTATCTCGTGTTGTCCATCTGAATTCCCAGTTTGCTGCGAGGGAAAGTGCTGCAACTCAGGTTACCTTTGTTCCGACGGCACTTGCGCCAGTCCAGGAGAAGAATTAAGAAAATTTCAAGCTAAAAAGATACCTGCCCTTTCTAAATATTCGAGGAATAATTCAACATTACATTAGCTGAACATTTATACATTTATAGCATTCATATATATATATATATTTTTTTTTTCAACATCCTTCAACTAGTCTTGTAAATAAATATTCTTAAACTTAAACTTTCGTTGAAAATTTGATGACCTATATAATACTTAACCACTCTGAAAGAATTTCTAATCAGACCAATCCTAAGTTATTTCTTATCAACCTGAAACATAGAAAGGAGAAGATTGATTAAAACATTCTAATGAAGTTCTCTAAAGGTCAATAAGTATAATTGTTTAAGAAGCTTGTACTCTAGAACATTAAAAGGAGAGTAGAAAATAACAATTCAATAACAAATTTTAAATAGCTTTCCCTTAAAAAAACAATCAACAAGCTAAAGTGAATGAACTCAAAGAGCAATGGCATTTCTTACTTGTAAATAGATTTTAATTGACTTGATAAGACAATAAATAAGCATATTAACACAACGAAACAATACTATTTGAGATAAATATAAGATGACTAAATATTTTTCGAAATTCTTATGATAAATTATAGTACTAACTATTTTTTTCTACACTTTCCTATACATAGAAACTATATACTATTTAATAAATTAATAATTATTTTTTGATATACTCCATTTTTTTTCATTTAGTCATCATGAAATCTTGATAAGAACTTTTTTTGACATTATTGAACTGATTGGACTGGAAAATTTCAAAGTTTCGTAACAATAACCTTGAACTAATTATGTCGCCGCTATTTTATCAGTTTGAACCATATTCACAGGAGTAAAGATATATTAAACATTTTTTTGACTTCACATTTCAAAAAATCGAAAGTTCAATGATAACAAAGAAACTTTTTATGTCGATATATATGTATTAATATGGACATCTATCCTAAATTAAAATTAGGACATTCTACTTAAAAGAAATTTGACCTCAGTATAACAACGTTTATTTAGTTTCTTTTAAAGTATCTTTTCACTGATGAAACTTTAACTTTTAAATCCTTTCTACACTCTCCATTATCACATACGGCGCTCTCTTCACAGCAAACTTTACCGCAACACACAGGAAAGTCTTTCAAGCAACAGGTGTCTTCATTAGAACAGCAAATCTATAGGTTTTTGTTGAAAAAGTTGAAGTTAAACATATTTTAAAAATAGAATTGATAAGTTTTAGAGAATAGTTCTTTATAATTTCTTTTTTACATAAGTGTTTTTAAAGTGAAATTTTCTCAAATTTGAATATGAATACATTAATTACATATGTATGGAATTTGGTCTGAATTATGTATTTAGAAAAGTAATTATAATCAAATTCTATTAATTAGGTTTGAAATGAGATATTTACATTACTCTCCTTTTGGCAACATCCTCCAGAAGAACAACAGACTCCACCACTATCACAAATAGATCCGTCATCACAAAGCAAACCGAGTACCTATTTAAACATTTATGAAAAACGTATATTTTGGAGAAAAAACTACTATAAAAGATAGTTATATATCAAACCTGAGAAGGTAAACAGTAGACATTTGAAATAAAACAACAAATAAGTATAGAGACAATTGTTAATGAAAACAGTTTCATTTTGTAACTTTAAATATTCAAGTCTGCTTACCAACATTCAATGGTATGACTTTGTATAATATATTCCATTTTTTTTTAAATATAAAAAGTACTTGCAAATCTTTATCAATTTATCAAAATCTAAAAATTTATAATTAATATACATAAGCTGTTTTTTATTTTGATAATAAAAAACAAGAAGCTTAAATTGTTTGAATATTTTTTGTTTCAACGTCTCTAATTGGTTTTTTTATTGTACTAGGATACGAAAAAAGGCCTATAATAAGTTTATTGTTATTATTTTGACATTGTCTGATCAATGAATAAACAAAGCTATTCCTTTTTCTAAAAATAACACTATTATTCAGATTATAGTTTATATTTGTTGTTTTGTTACATTACTTAAAAAATATTTCAATGGTAAGCTGAAAACCTCTATTTCTTATAAATATACGATATTTAAGTAAGTTGAAATTATAATATCTTTCTAAACAAATGAACAATTTATTCTCATAGATGATTGTCTTTTATTAGAAAATTGACTATGTTAAAATAAGCCAACTCTCTGTTGACCTACTGAACAAAATTTTATCAGAAAACTATGAAATTAATTATTAATAAATTAATAAGAAATTTCTTATCTTTTTATACAAAAATTTATTGGTCAGTTTGTAATTAATGTTTTTATAGTAAAGACTGTAGATTCTTACGATTACATTCTTACCTTAATATTTATTCTTTACCCGTTTAGCTTATCGTTTAGGAAATTAATTCGATACCGTTAAATTTAAAATTTCATGGTTTTCAACTCTGATATCTTATTTCTGGATAAATTAAAGCTTAAAAAATACTTCGAATATGTCTACTAAACACATTTAGTATTATTCATCATTGTATTTATTTATTGGAAACAATTACTGTCTATAGATGGCGAGAGTATCGATATTTTAGCCTCATTCTAATACTTATATCAAGGTTTAAAAGTACTAATGTTGTACTAAAATATAATGAGGTAAGCGTTTATAAAAATTATCGGTACTACTGTTAAAACTTTAAACTGAACACAGGACTGAAATAAAAACACAAAAAAAGAAGAAATTAATTGCTAACAAATAGGTACACACATCTGACATGATTAGTTTTGACTATTAACAAGTACGTAACACAACAAAACATATACCTCTACAGTATTTGAACTATACACATTTTATGTTAAATTTTATGTATTAATTCAAATTAATCCACTAGATGTCTCTCTGTGTGCATCTATCCTCATCAGAGCTATTTTTTCTGGATCATCTTCATTATTCCTGAAATAACTTTGAATATATCTTCTTTATAGAATATTCTCATAGACTTTAAGTATTCCTCCAACACTTTATTATTCAATTTGTTCTTTTTTGTGTGAAAACTCCCATGTTCTTTTACGTCAAGTGCTTAAAAGATTAAGAGTTTCTTCCATCGATGATTTTCTTTATTTTAATTCATTAGCCTCCTTACTCTTCGTTTGGAATAGAATTAATATCCTTTCTATTTATTTATATTAAAAGGTAATATGAATAGCGACACGTTGTTACATTTCAAATGTTTTGCTGTCTGAAAAGAAGAACACTTTATTCAATTTAAGTATCGGAACGTTTCTTTCCTTATGCTTCTTCATCCACTTAATAATCCTAGGAGAAGAATCATCTCATTTAGTCTAATAAATGAATAAGATTATTCATTAAATATTTAGCTTTTTATCTTCAAATGAAAATCATCAAGAAAAGCGTATTAAAAGGGAAAAAATACTAATAATGAAAGAAACCGTTGTGTTTATTTCATTAGTTTCCTCTTCAATTTTAAAACATAATCGAATAATAGTTTATTTAATTATCATAGAATTAGATGGGTTTTTTGTTTAAAATTCATATATAATATCATGTGATATTATCAATTTATCATTAATCAAAATTTTTGCAATTACTATAACTGTTAGCTGATTTTTAGATAATAAAAATAAGAATAAAAAAAGAGTTAATAGCACTTTAAATAGTTAACATATTTTTTGTTTCGGCTCATATTTTTTTGTGAATAGGATATAATAGAATGTTTATAATTCAGCTATTATCGTATAGTCTACTATATAAATAGTTTCATAAACATGCCCTATAAATAACTATATTTGTAAACAAACTTTTAAAGTAAATGATCATTAGAATGAATTTAATTGTAATTTTTTCTTAAAAGAATTTTACATAGAAGTTAAAACTCGGTAATAATCATACTGAAACCATAGGAATTCAGACATGTTTACATACGAAAATAGAATGTAAACTGTAAAATTAAGCCTATTAAATTGTTTTATTTATTTTGTACAGTTATCTTATTTTTTTTCTAATAATATTTATTACTATACTAAACAATCAATAAAAATTAATATATACAGTATATGCATATATAATTATCATAAGCTTAGAGAAGTAGATTCTCTACCTCCTCTAAATGTAAAATACTGATTTTAAATTACCACTCTATGATTCAGGCTACATGAGTATACGAGGTGATTCAATATCTATTTTTAGACTCCCGATCGATAAATTTTGTCAAATAAAATTCATTTTTTACCTAAAGAGAAACTAATAAAATAAAATTGAATGAATTATACAAAGAAAGATATGAGTAATCACATCAATTTAGTGAATTAAACATTCAACACTTTCTTCAAGTATATCCACTAGAATCGTATGAAATAGTATTATCTTTAGATAAGATAAAATCGAAATTTATACTCTACTAAATTTCAATACTGTTAAAAAGCAAAAAAAGGGTTTATTTCGCAACGTTAATTTTTTATCATCTTCTCTTTATGGTTTTTAGTAGCACCCAATATTTCAAAAGTCATGTGATAGCTCTTTTTCCAGTCTCGTGACACGAAAGTGATGATTACAGAGACAAAATCTATTCTGATCCGCTAAAGTCTAAGAAATAAAAAAACATGCAAGCACCACAAGTATCTCTTAAGGTAATGTTTTTCGCTTGAACTAATTCTTTCTGTCAACATATGGCAAGATTAGCTGAGGATGTTGAATTAAACATATGTAATTATTGCAGGTTATATTTACCGTTCATTTCGTATTAACAGTATGGTAAGTAAAATTAATTTTTAATAAAATAATCATTATAAACATTATGTTGATTGTATTAAAATGTACGAATTTAGGTCTGGTATGTGCGTTTTTCCAACATCGTACTTGTTGACACAAGGAGTAATTTTGGCTTTTGAATTCTGGGCTATTGTTAACAGTGAAAATCCAGAACCTATTCAAATGGTAAGTATACCAAGAAAAAGAAAATCCCTATTGAAAATTTAAAAAGACTTAGCGAATTTATTATATCAATTTGTAGGGTTTACTAACTCAATTAGTTAGCATCGTTTTGGATATTGTTATGATATCTGTTCATTCAAATAACTGTAAGTAATATTTATATAATAATTTTTATCAATGTATTTAATATACCTGTTTTTTTATTGTCTTAAACAGATAATTATAGTTTAGCCCGTTTTTGCCTTGCCATGGCCGTAATTAATTTAATCATTAAGCCTTTTACCGGCTTTGTTTTATATCGTATTTATCAAGAAAGAGGGGGTCAGTATACAGCTTTTGGGATATCTGGATCAAATAATTTTTCCGGTTTGTATACTTTCTAAAGTATTTTCAATTCTATTGTATACATTCAATTGTTCGTCTATTCAGCCACCTGCTTATTTACAGATATTATTTCTCTCTATATTCGTTCTCAATTTTTTTAAAGGTACCCAACCAGGACAGTATGAAAATATTGATCAGAGAAACGAGATAGAAACAGCTTCCCCACACGAAATTATTGATAAAGTACCTTAGAGATGCCACTGCCAATAAAGTCTTTGTTATAATGAAAAATTTATAAACACGATATTAAAAATTCTATGTGCTAATGCTCTAACATTTCTTAAATATCTAATTCAGACTATTCAAAATTGTACCTTTACTACATCTCTGTGTTGTATTAATGTGGCGTTACACTTACGTAATTTAGTAAGAACAAACCGGAAACGGAAAAATAAAATCTAAAAAAAAATCAAATATCTTTTTTTAAACTTATATAGAATTGAAATATATATATATATTATAATGCCTTCGAAAGACCGTATCACGTTAAGTTATGGTGATAGCATATTGAGAGAATCTGACCTAACTATTTTGAACAGCAAAGCATGGCTTAACGATAGAATTATTGGTTTCGCCTTCGAGTAAAGTGTAAATAAGATTAATTTAAAATTTTTATTTAAAATACCTACGCTATTTTTAGATATTTTCAAAATGACCTATTTAAATCAACCAACAAAATAATATTTATTAGTCCCGAAGTCACTCAGCTAGTTAAATTGTCAGGTATTGTTGTAATAATTCTAAAATATCCAGTGTCTTACTATAAATTAATACTCTATCAATTGAATATAACATTTGAAGTATTACAAACTTTCTAATTCCAGATGAGAGTGAAGTGAATGTTTTTCTAGAACCTCTTGATTTGTGTAACAAAGAAGTTATCTTGTTGGCAGTAAACGATCAAGAGGATTTAACTCACGAAGGAGGGACGCACTGGTCATTACTGATGTATTATCAGAAAAGCCGCCAATTCTTTCATATAGACTCTTCTCCAGGTTTTAATGTTGCTGCAGCTAAAAAGCTTAGCAAGAATTTATCTCAGATAATCAGTTCGTAAACTCATTAAAACCTTAATTTCGCTTAAAAATGTTCTTTTCTAGAATGCACAAATTTGAACGTTGAGGAACTTCCTTGCATACATCAGACAAATGGTACTTATATGCATAATTAATCTGTAACTTATTCATAAATATTTTTCCAACACAGCATACGATTGTGGAATTCACGTTATTTGTAATGCTAGAGTAATTGGGTCTCAATTTCTTGATTTAAAAGAATTTGACGTTAGTAAGATCAATATTAGCGAGGTAGAAAATATGAGAAATGAGCTATTAAATATCATATCGACACTACAGAATAAATTGTAAATTAAACTTATTTAATTAATTTATTTTATTTGAGATTTTTTATATTTTTTAAAGACAACTGAAGTAGAGCTCTGAAGAGAAGAGCAGAATTTTGCTTGTGTGCGCGCGTGTGTAACTTTCACTGTCTTTGATTCACTTAATTGTCTTCAGTCAAGCTATAACTGTATGGGGCCAAATTTAATGTGACTATAATGAGTTTTCAATAATTCCTCAAGCTGTTTCGCATGATCTTCATCCCTTGTTTCCACAACACATTTATTCTGTGTTATTAAAATGAAGATTAGTCTTATTTCACCCTCATTTAAATAGGTAAACAAAAAACACTTACAATGACACTATAAATGTCATTCTTCAGCCACGCTCTCTCGTGAAATATATCCTTTATGCTAACTCCAATACTTGCTATCAATCGGGTTAATTCAGCTATACCACCTGCTCTGTCACTCACTTGGACGGAGAATGTTATTAACCGTCCGTCAGCAGCTAAACCCCTTTCCAAACATCTGCCAAGGACTGTTGTATCAATATTTCCCCCGCATAACGGTATAACAACTCTTTTTCCTTTCAATTCGTCCAATTTGCCTTCCAAAATAGCTGCCAGACCGGTAGCTCCCGCACCTTCTACAACAGCTTTTTCTTGTTCAACTAGTCGTAGAATAGCTAAGGCTATAAACTCTTCGGAAACAACAATAGTTTTATCTACATATTTTGATGCAGTTGCGAATGCATTTACTCCTACAACGGGAACAGCCAGACCATCAGCAATCGTAGAGGAAACCTATAAAAACGTTGATCCGTGAGGTGCTTTAAACCAAATTTTATATAATGCTACCTTTGTATAAACAGGTTTTCCCGCCTCTAAGGCAGCTTTAAAACTCGCACATCTTTCCGATTCAACACCAATAACCGTAACACTGGGATTAAGAGACTTTATGGCAAGAGCTATACCTGCTATTAAACCAGCTCCACCTACAGGAACAACAACGGCGTCAACATCGGATACCTGCTCCAAAATTTCTAGCCCACAAGTTCCTTGGCCAGCGATAATATGTGGATGATCGTAGCCATTGATGTATGTATATCCTTTGATTTTTGCAAGTTTGAGAGCATGAGTTTTCGCCTTTCATGAAAAATAAAAGGAAAACAAGATTAATATAATCCTACATATATCTAAAAATCATTCATATATCGAATACTGTTATTAGAAAGAATGAAATAAACTTAATTCATTTTTTTTTTGGATATTTGCCAAAATCAATTTAAATACTAAAGCATTAGATAATGCATGACGCAATCTTTAGAGAAATTTCATTATTTCATCATCTTTAGTTTACATGTGAGGTTGATAATGTTTAGAATTAATTTTACGTAATTATAATTAAACGATATAATAATATGCAGTTAGAATTTAAAGAATAAGTGACACACCTCACCCAAATCAGCACCATGAACTATAACATTAGCTCCGTAGCTTTTACAATTGGTAACTTTCATAATTGGGGCTATGATGGGCATTACTACTGTCACTGGTATTCCTAAATCTACGCCATGATATGCCAAAGCTTGAGCATGATTTCCGGCAGATGCGGCTATAACTCCTAATTTTTTCTTTTCCTGAAAAAATATTAAAATTAATATTTTTAGATTATACATCTTTAATAACATTTTGCTTAGTATTTTATTGAAAAATAATTGGTTTTAATTTGTAAAACTACCGTTTTTGAAAAATATGTTACAATACATTGACCCTAAAAGTCATCGACCTCTAGGAGATTTGTTTTTTTTTTAACTGCTAGTCATGTTGTTTGAATGACGCTATTGGTTTGTACTATTTTCTTTTGGTTACTTAAATATAGAACGTAATATTATGTAATTAAGTCCTTATAAGAGCAATGAATTAACGATGTAGCTACCTTTGAACGGAGTATAAATAGAATAGTAGTAACAGAATTAGAAGAATAAATATATGATCTTGAAACGAAAAATCGTACTTTAGTCTCGAGTTCGATTAAAAGATGTTTGTCTGTTGAATATCTAAAAATTTTATTAAATACCTTCTATTTACTAGATTAGTCTAGATTTTATATATTTACATAATTACAAATCCCCTCCCGCTCCCGTCACCTCCTTCCTTGCAAAAGTCTGTCTGCTTGAGTTCTATTAAGCAAGTACACTAGTTCTTTTTTTGAATATTTTTTAAAGAGATCAGAATATGTAGTAAAATTAATCTTTTTTGAGATAATGGGTTTTTTTTAGGATCAAGGTCACAAAAAAGCTATTTTACAAAAGAAAAAAGAGCATGATTTATGAAATTGAGAGCAGGAGGGTTGTGTTTACTACTCGAATACACATACCTCCGAAAGCATTTGCAACGTGTATCTTGCTCCTCTTTCCTTAAAACTTCCAGTATATTGCAGAAATTCCCTTTTAAAGTAGATATTTATGCCAGTTGTTGCTGACAAATGGGATTTCTAAAAAAATTATTAACATTCAAATGGCGTTATTTTCGATTTGAACATTACAGTGCAAGGAGTTCTTTCAATACCACTCTTTATCTTGTAGGCAGCAGCACTAACTTCCTGAAAGGGTACGACTTGAGGATCATTGGGATCACAAAAAGGATCCGATAGCTCTTCATCAGTGACAGAATCACCTGAATCTACAGTGTCCAACACCTCACTCATTGTTCCAAAGACTTTGTTTACGACTGAACTGAAGGTCAGCTTAAGAAATTATGATCCCATGAAAATTTGTTGATTGGCTAGAATGATAATAATAATATAGAGCATTTATTTTAACATATTTTAATAAATACCTTATTTAATTAAATAAATTATTTTAGAATCTAATAATTAATATTTTTCAACGGAAATAATATTTCTGAAAATATACGCTCCTGACATCACGTGACTATATAAACATCTATGGCAGCAGCAAGAACGGCAAGCAGTTTTAATTTTCGTCCGCTCTGCACTAATATGACGACAAATCGATAAAATTTTAATTACGTATTAAAACTAAATTCTTCGATGGCTGGAATGACCAAGAAACTGTCCATAAATTTTATTGCAAAATCAGCGAGACCTAATAGACGTAAGAGCGAATCTAAAGTAAGTTGATATTGCAATATTTTCTGTCTCTTCTCTAACTTTCTAACTACAACTAAGTATATATTTATGTTCTTCCCGCTTTTAACCAACGTAGGAGGACAACACATTGGATGATAACAAGGATGGTGATGCTTATCAAACTATGTCCTTAGACGGGGAATCCGCTTCAGATTTTAAATTGCTTCATAACAACATCCGATCGTTTCATGAGAACTTAAAGAATTTAAACAGCGTTTTTCAAATGAAAGCAGGTGAGCGATTTGTCTAAAACTTTCTCTTTTGAATTATAAAGTTGAGGTTTTACGATTTACGCAGAGGAGGGTGAAACAATCCGACGATTAGCTCATGATAACTTGGGTCATGTTTTACATGTGCTCAAAGAAATACTGGAAACTCACCCCAATCTAAATAGTAATGCGTTAGTTATTGCTGTTTTGAAATTGATTAAAGAGATTAGAGGTAAGATATCCTCGAAAGACGACACCCATTTAAAAGATATTTGTAAAGTGTTATTGTTCTTTTCTTTTGTACATTGTTTCTTTGAACCAATTAGCGATTGAGTATTAAAATTTGTTGAAAAGATGTCTTACAATAATTGCTATTTTAATTTAGCGCTTCCTCATAACGTTAAAAAAGAGAAACTAGAAGAATTGATGCAGGATTGTGATAGTTTGGCCAGCTTGCTATCAACGAGGTATGTTTTGCAGTCAAACTTTCGTGTCATATACTATCCCTATCTTTCGCAGTGTCTCAAGTTACGTGCATAAGGAATTAGATGAATTTAAGGAAATCAATAGGCATAAGGTTAATTTTCCTTTTTCAATTAAGAAATTTTTATATATCAAAATCGATTGTTTACTAAAATTACAGGATAGCCGTTATAACTCTTCGGAGCAGATAGAATCCCCCGTCGAAGAAGGTATATTACTACTTTATCTATTTACGTCATATGACCTTTGGCAAGGAATTTGCTGAAATAGGGATAAACTGTTTAGATAGCGTCTAAACTTGAATATCCCATATTTATTTTGTATCGATTTAGACATTTAAGTTGCGTTTTGCTTTTCAAGCATCGGGGAAACAGCTGGACGAAATGGTAGATAAAGTAAAAAATGGCGTCGATGAATGCTTTAAAAGAGCAAAGGCGTGGGCGAATTATGTAAAGCAATTGACGAAATATGTGGAGCAAAGATGCTCTTGCGGTAATATAAAATCTATTTGCTATTCAAAACAAATAACTATTCCTCATGACAAAGGAATTTCATATAGATATTTCTCTTTTTTTATTACCTGCAGAAATGGAATTAGCTCGAAATGTAAAAAAATTAGCAGAAAATTATATGGTTACTCTTAAAACGGAAGTAAGATAATTTTCGCGTTTTTTTTTCTTTTCCATAATACTATTAACTTTTTTACGTCGTTGCGACAGGTCTTAATAGGTATAAATTATTACTCATTGTTGTAAAACCTATTGTCATAGATTAATTCTTTAAACGACAAGGCAAAAAGTATTAGTTGTACAGTACACGCTTTTTATCAACAGCGATATCTACCTCTGCAAACGACTTACCTGCTCTCCTGTCAACAGGTTTGTAGCTTCGTTATAGATATCTTGATTATTAAATGAATAAAATATTGAAAATATATATGCCCAAGGCAGTGTAGCCACATGTACTATTCATTCATTCATATCTATAAATATATATATTTATATATAGATATATTTGAATCTTTCTATTTGCCTAGCACTATTACAGATAAAGCGTGTCAGATATTCTGACCTGCTTGTCGCCCCGTGACAAAGTGTCTGATTGTAAATAATATAGGGCTTACTAACGCTTAAATATGTCGTTAAAGCTAACATGAAATAAATAAATCAAACTCTCAAGTTATTAGCAGATGATTAAATATAAAGCTTTCGTCAAAAACCAGGAAGTTGAACACACAAAAGCTCTGGAAGATATGTGCCGACAAATCAAGGAACATCATTTTGTGTCTCAGATGAGGGATCAAGTCAAATACCATGAAGATAAAAGAAAAACCTATTATAACATGTGGACAAAGGCTATAAAATCAAGAGTTCGTATTTTATCTAGATGCTCCTTCAGCGACATTACTATCAATTTAATTGTATATCATTCGATTTATAGAAAGAAGCCGAGGAAACAATGATAAAACTTCGTAATGTATATGATCGAGCTCATGCTGATATGGATCGTTTGAAGGTGTCTATTTAAATTTGATATCAGAGACTGTTTTTGTTTACTTATCCATATTATCAATTACGTAATATAGATGCAATGGGGATCCATATCGGAACAAGATGAGCCTAAGAGTAAAGAAAGAGCCGAAAAGAAATATGAGGAAGCCAGAACGAAAGTAATTGAGCATGAAAACTCTTATAAACAAAGTATTGCTGAAGCTAATTCACAAGTGCAGCAAAGCTATAAAACTCAGGTTTATAACTATGCAATTTTTAACTTAATAGTACTTGTTTTATATACCATATTATTATATGTATCACAGAAAGGTATTATAACCGCCCTAAGACAATTACTCAGTGAAGGAGATGCAAAATTACGAGAGCAATCCTATAAACTATTTCAAAGTCGAAAATTAGTGGCCGAATCTTGTCCTCCTCAAGTATATATTTCACTTTTTTTTACGACAGTAACTTAATTATTTATATTTGCATTTTCATTTTATGAAGCTCGCCCAAAATGAGGAAGAGTGTAAAAAATACTCGGTTAACTCTCATTACGCTGAATTTATTCGCGATCTTTGCAAAAATTCCGAAAAAATAGAATTCGAACCCGAACCTTTCAAATTCGAACCATATGAAGGGTAAATTTAATAACATTTTGTAACTAAACACAAGATTGATTTAAAATTGCAAATGTTGTAGACGAAGAAAACACGATGTAAGTGATACTGATTCTATCAGTGGTAGTAGTTCGAAAAGTAGGGAATCATCACCGGTATCTGGAAGTCCAAGGAGCCATGTATGTAAAAAAAACTTTCATAATTTTTGAGATTATTAATAATAAATTTATTATTTTTTTTATCAGAGACTATTCGAAGTTAGCTTGAACGAATATTCAAATAGATATGGGTGTCTCGTGCCTCCTATTGTCACGAAATGTATCGATTTTCTAGAATCTGGTGATAATTTAATGAAAGAAGTAATTTGATATTTAATAAATTAAAAAGTGCTTTTTTTAATATTCTTTTATTTTAGGGTCTATATAGAGTTCCTGGACTTGTATCTAAGGAAAAACAATTGACAAAAATGTTTGAAACACATGAAGTAGTTGAAGATTTAACAGATTCTGGATATCATGTTGTCGCGTCCGTTCTGAAAAAATACTTTAGACAGGTAAAGGCACTTGCTTTTAACGCAATGATCACCTTTTTTGTAATATTACGACTTCTTTTAGCTTCCTGAGCCTCTACTCATGGTTCGTCTTTACGATGACTTTATAAAAATTTCCGAGGTAAATTTTTGTTTGTTTTTTCTATTTATTTAAAAAATTAAAGATAAAATATATCTATTGTCTAAAGTTTATATTTGATTGAAATATTAGTATCTTATTATTCCGTTTCAATAAGTTAATAACGATAGTAAAATGCTATTTTGTACATACAGAAATTTCCTGAACCAATAACTCTAGCAAATGATCGTTTAAAGGAGAGCTTAAGGGACGTCGTTAAAAAACTGGATAAACCACACTATGAGACTTGCGCGACTCTAATGAATCATTTATATAAGTATGCTCTTAGTTTATACGAGTATATTGTAAATGATTAAAAATATACTATGCTCAAATAGGGTTGCTGAACAGGAATCTAATCACATGGATGCTTTTAATTTAGGTGTAGTTTTTGGTCCTAATTTAATGGGAGATAGACAGAGGGCTGCAAATATGCAAGAAAATCAGGATCGAATTAACCGACAAAATAAAGTTATTCACATATTAATAGAATTCGCTCCTGAAGTATTCAAGACTAAGGAAAAGGTTGAGTTGCCATTTTGTAATCAAGTTCAAACGTTCATCGATTCAGCTAGTCAGAATGATTCAGATGATGGTGGTAAGTTATTTGAGATAATAAAACTAAAAGAAATATATAGTTTTTGTCATTATTGTATTACTCTATACAGAAAAAGAAATATAAAAAGGTTGTGTGTTTTTTCATTTATAGGTGTATTTATGCATGCCGAATTTTCCCTAGCTTTATTATATCTTAAATTAGGAAACGAAATAATTCGCTTGTCTTGTACAAAAGAAATGCTGTTTCCTTAACATATTCGGGCTCTATGTTTTACACCCCCTACTTGTTAATAGATTAGGTGTGAAAATACGAAGCCTGCGGCGACTTTGACAATCGCCGCAGTAGGCTCGTAAATTTTCACAAGTTGTTAACTCGTTTTTGTCATTTGACTTTTTAATTGAAGAATCAAGATAAGTTGTAAAGATATCTTTATATAAACAGACATTAAAGAGCCAAATGACGATAACAGCTGTTGTAAAAGTTCCCATTTCTATTAAAGATCATTATCGAAATTTTATCCTAATTAGATCAATTAATTTTTGTTATTAACAGCTAATAGAAGAAATTCGTATCCCAGTACACTTTTAAACGACAGTATAGATGCGGATGACGAAGGTGACGCTCATCAATCTGCTCCATCATATGATAATATTTCCAAAGACGAAAGGTCACCTCATTTCGTGTGAGAAGTTTATCTTACAGTAGCTAATTTTGTTTTAAATGCCATTTCTTTTAGAATATTTTACTGTAGAAATTTGTTTACTTCAATTGTGAAATTTTAATATTTATTTGAATTATTTAAAAAAAGAATGCAAATATAACGATTGCTTGCTGTTTTCAAAACTTTTTTTATGTATAAAAGTCTAAATTTTAGGTAATAAACTTATGTTCCTTATTTTTAAATAGGCCTATAGGCCTTTATTGTTTCCTTCATACATTATAATAAGAAATAGCTAACTTATAAAAAATACGAAAGTTGTATTCGTAAAAACTAAAGTAAAACAAGATTGAGAAAAAGATGAAAAAATCTTAGACGAAATGAAAATCATTTCACCAGCTGTGATGTGCAGCCAATATGTTTTGAATTTTTGCAGGTAAAATGTTTATCATTTCTATGCAAATGCCTAATTCGTCTTTCACCTTATCTTCAGTCTCCTTATGATTATAGCAATAATCAACAAGAACTTTATAACAATCAATAGTTTTTTGAACATTTTTTGCTCGTATGTTAGGATTACTTTCTATAATTTTCGAAAATAATCTACCTTTACAAAACCAGGCAATCAAAAATGGTCTTTCGTCTTCTGTAGGGATTTTATCCGGTGTTTTACCCTCAGGATTATTAAACGATTGTATAAATTTGTCATAATAGATTATACCCTGGTTTGATAATTGGTTTACTTTATTAACAGATTTTGGGTCGGGTGTCTTTTGACCTGATTCTATGAGAGCTAGTTTCAAATCTAACATGGCACTGTAAATTTCGGCTATTTCATATTGTAATTGTCGGCATACAAGTAGATAGTGTTGAGGATTCAACTCGTTTAAGACGCCTGTCAACATATCAATTCGTCTCTTATGCATTTTGCATTGCCTCTCCAAGTCTGGTTCGAAATAAGATAAAAATTTAAATAGTTTACTATAATCCTGTATAATTTCAATATGATCTGAGCAATGAGAATCCAATTTATAAAAATCTTTAGCTTCATTCAAATAATTTTGAACTTGTAAAAATAGTTTTTTCGCTTCATCGAACGATTTCGCATGACGGCAAGCTATTTGTTCATCGAGCTCTAGATCAAACTTAAATATATCTTCTTCGTCAGTTTCAGCAGTTTCTTCCATTTGGTTCATAACTATTTTCCAAGAATTTTCTAGTAGTAGCAAACCGTATTTGACTCCGCATCGTCTAATATCTGCGGAGCATTTTTGAATTTTTTCTTTTGCATCCAATGCAACTTGAGAATTGGGGTCAACATCTAATGGAATTTCAGGGGACGGAGCTTGTGATAATATATAAGAAGCAGCAGCTAAACAGTTTCTAGCAATCTTGTAATTGTTGTTTGGTAAATAATACTGACTTAATGTTGCAGCATTTACCGCCCAATCAATATGATCAAAATTGTTGCTATATTTTAATTGCCGTTGTAAGGTTAATTTACAATAATTAGCAGCCTTATCTGTATCATCTCTACAATATAACTGAGCGTAATAATACAGTGTATGGGTGAAAGTGTCTTCTATCTCCAAAATGCGGTTTTCTTTGGTTTCTTCCTCTTTGATAAGCGTGATCTCGTCAACGGTCAGGGGAACGTTCTCTAATCTATCGAAAGTGTTATACATTTCCTCAACGATCTCAAAGTACTTTAATGCTGAGGAAACTTGTTGTCGATTAGCCCATAAGATTCCCAATTGATTAGCAGTTTTTAAATAAACGGAAAAAGCTTTCTCGTTATATTTCCATGGCTCAAGTACTGCCAGAGCTTTCTCAAAGTGTTCTTGCCCGCTGGATATTTCTTCGCAATCTACGTAATTTATACCTAAGTACATATGAACGGCCGCTAGAAGACAAGTTATTCTGTCATTAGATTCTTCAGAATCGGATTCACGATTATCTAAAATTGTTTTAATTTCATTTAAAATTTCTCTAGATTTGTATTTAGATCTGTACGGGAAATCTTCAGGATCAAATTTATATTCTGTGTCAGCTAATCTCATAGCTTCCTTCATTTTATCGGCAATTTCTGCAAAATATTTGTCAGTAGCCATTTTTAAATTCTCACAGATTCAATAGGTGACAGCACTATGAAGTCACGTGATTCCGAGAAATGCCTAGAAGACTATGACGTCGCGGAAATTTTCGAAAAAAACCTTTTCTGTTTTTTCAATATGGCGTCTAGGAAACTATTTACACCGCCATTTTCTAAAACTTTTCATGCAGCATAGTAGCGACTGCTCTTTATTTTAGTCACGTGATCTAGTCAGACGCCATGTTCTACGCTCGAATAGTTTAATTTATTTGCTATTTTACTGCGATATATACAAGTAAATTTTTAGCGAATGTACTAGAAAATTTGTTATATATAACAAACCAACAAACTGTCTCACACCGGCTGCTATACGACGCTCAATTCGCAGGTAAATTTCGCAATGTTTTTATATTCATGGAAGAGCGTCATTATGTTTTTATTGTGTCCCTTTTTTAAATTGATGTAATTTTTAATGAAAAAGAGTTGGATGTTATGTAATTTTGCAATCGAAACTATAGAAAACACTTTAATACTAAGAGTAACGCCCGAATGAGCCCAGCTGTCCCAGTCACGTGACCGTATTCGTTCTTTGTATACTTTCCTCTTTGTGTGACTAGACTAGAGAAAGAGCGTCAAACCCTCCTTCAATTCTTCAACAATAAAATGAATATGGTTCGTATATTCTAATGTGGTTTTGGGATTGTGGGTTTTTTAGAAACTATTCGTTCGAACTCGTCTGTAAGCCCGTTTGAACACGATACTTTTATGATAAGACTAGAGTTCGTTTTTTCGTCTTTGTTCAACCACCCTTATATCGCGCTGTTTAGATAATGACAATGACCGTAATTGGATGGTGACAGTTGGCGTTGTTTTTTGGTTTCACCATCATTCTTGCCTGTTAAGTCCAATCGAACGGTTCAAGTACTTCTGATCTATTATTTAAGGTATGTTTACCATTTAACAGTAATTATGTTCTGTATCATTTGCTGAGTTTTTATATATATCATTAGAATGTTTCATAAACAGCAGATTTAAACATTTTATAAACAACTGTTTAGTTGATATTTCGAAGAATAATCATCTTTCTATTTCACAATCTTTAAAAGTGTATTTTTTTTACAATGATTCATACTCTTTCGAACTAACAAAATAATATACGTCATTGCGGACCGATTTTTGTGGATACTATATTTTTTTTGAATTGTAGATTAGGTCTTTGAAAGTTTACATAATGTTTGTTCTATCCGCCTACTTTCGCTCTCGTCCTTTAGAAAGGCCAATTTTACTTAGAGTGTTAGACCGAAAAACAGCTGTAAAAACGAAGTTTAACTCGGAAAAGACGGCATATTATGTAACTCTAGGTTATTTTAGGCGAATAGTGTACTTTTCGGTTGATAACATTTTCTTCCATGGATTTGTACGGCGCTGACTTATTATTATTAATCAAAACTGTCAACAAACTTTAAGATCCGTATTTTAAATGTTCAAAGATAGTTGAATCGATATTTGAAAGATAAATTGGTTATAAATGTAAAAAGTAGTGGGGAAACGCCCAGCTGTGAAATTTCACTAATTCAAATGTTCGTTATGTTTACTTTAAGTTGAACTATGTTTGAATTTGGGTTACATATTCCGAGAATATTATTGTTTGCTATTACAGTTTTTCAAATAAAAATATCCCTTATATATTTTTAAAAATATGATGAAATATAGGTGACTACTCTTTATGTACTCCGTATATATCATTTTATAAAGATCTTGTTATTCATTCTGACTATTTCATGTTCTTTGTAAAGGCAACTTTCAGGGAGTAGACGTGGAGACAGCCAATTAATTTTTTAAAATTTACTACCTCTGTTATAAGGGACTTAGTATTTCTTTCCTACTTTTTTGTGTCCGTGCTACCGTTGTGTAACAGTTCAGTGCCCACATGCGTCCTACGGAACAAAGACCGGAAATATCACAGCTGTCTTTGTTGGCCTACCTAAAATTTGACAGGGTACATTGATAAAACTAGCGCAAAATAAACGTGTGGGCTTTAAAGACCTCTATAATAGTGATAATTACATAATATTCAATGCCCACGCGCCTGTAACAAGGAGAAGTTAAGGGACAAAGAAAAACGGTTCTCTTTGTTGTCGGCCCGGGTTTTCTAGGCATGGCAGGTGCTGGTGCGACACAAAGACCCCGGTGGTTTTTTGTGTTCAATTCGTTCAGGCTCTGTCATTCTGTTAAGGAGCGTGTGCGAGGAAACTACTATCGCTTTATTCTAAACAGAACCTAAAAAAATTGATAGACATGGAGTGGTCTACAAGCTATAGCTTCTCTGATGAACCAAAAGTAAGAATTGTTACTAATAATATATATTTAAATATAGCTAACATTTTAAAACTCAAGTTGATCCATAACGTATCAACAAGATCAATTTTTGTACGTTAATTCTGAACTGAAATTAATGCTTTTTATGTAGTCAGTGCAATATAGGTAACATCCACTGACGTTAACCGTGATCAGAGTGTTTGTTTCGTATGTGTCATTTGATAGCTACATCGTGCGTATAGTTATTTTTTATTTTTGTTTCCAATATTTAAACTTGTCATGTTGATTTATAATGTATTAAAAGGTGGATACATAGTTAATATTCCAATGTTACTACTGGCTATTGTCTTTACTATTAGTTTATTCGTGTCGTCAAAAATTATATATGTATGCCTATTTTGCAGATTTACCCTCTCGAACCGTCCGAAAAAGTGGAAACGTGCAAGAAACAACGCGGCATGACGATGGGTCAGAAAGTTAGCGGCGGCATAAAGACCATATCACAATCCCGACTTGACTCGGCGCCTTATAAAACAAATTCAGGTCCGAATAATAACAGAGCCGAACCAAGCACGGTATCACCGCTTAAAACAGAATTTCCTCGTCCGCCAAGATTTGATATGTTGTTGGATATGCCGCCAGCCAATTTTGAAACACAACTTAAACACGCTTGGAATGCCGATGATAGGAGTTTGAACATTTTCGTCAAGGAAGATGACAAGTTAACGTTCCATAGACATCCGGTTGCTCAGAGTACAGATTGCATACGTGGCAGGTAACTAATTTCTTTAACAAACATTGTTTAAAAATTATTTTTAACTTTCGATGTTTACTTTGTTTGCCTGTTCAGGTTTGGCTATAGTCGAGGGTTACACGTATGGCAAATTCATTGGTCGACTAGGCAACGGGGAACTCATGCTGTTGTGGGTGTTGCTACGAAAGATGCACCCTTACACTGTGTTGGTTACCAATCTCTTATTGGATCGAATAGGGACAGTTGGGGTTGGGATTTGGGTAGGAATAAGTTGTATCACAATACAAAAACAACGCCGGGATCGACTTATCCAACCGGCAGCGACGATAACTTTGTAGTTCCAGACTCCTTCCAAGTGGTTTTGGATATGGATGATGGTACACTGGCTTTTGTTGTGGATGGAAAGTATTTAGGAGTAGCGTTCAGGGGCCTAAAAGGGAAAAAGCTGTATCCGGTTGTTTCAGCCGTTTGGGGACATTGCGAGATTACTATAAAGTACATTGGAGGTTTGGACCGTAAGTACATACATTTTTGCAATAATAGATGGCGCTAGTCTGTTCAATATTCTAAGTAATATAGTTCCTTCGCAAACCAAGAATAGATTTGTAAAATCAGAATAAAATAATTTTGCTTCAATTTTCCAAATTATTAATATTTGATTTAAATTTTTCATTCTTCGAAATAGATATATTTTTTGCATTATATGGTCGATTTTAGCGATTTATATTGATATCCCTGTTTGTTACACAATGCCCCCATTCATTTTATGCATCAATATTCCCCATCTGTGTACTCTTGAAAGAGGATTTATTTATGTAACTTTTTTTCGGTCACCGTACAAACTCTAAAGAATCATATATTTCTCTATACATAGTATAAGTAGTTTTATTTCTCTTTTAAAACGTTTTATTTCTTTACAGCTGAACCCCTTCCTTTAATGGATATATGCCGAAGATCTATACGTCAATGCGTTGGTAAACATCAATTACACCACGTACAAAAATTACCTTTACCTCCACGTCTCAAGAATTACCTACTCTATCAGTAAACTGCTGACAAACACGAACAAACGAACTCTTAAACCGCCAGTGTTGCCTGTCGTGTGCAAATCTAGTCAGATGGAGATGTTCCTCTTTTTTTTGCTAATTTAATTTCTATTTATTTTTATTTTTATGATTGTCCTTAGTTCATCCAGATTGAAATGGGCACCTACTTTTAAACTTTACTTTTGATGGGTTTCATAAATTCTGTTATCTCAAGAACTCTTTGACTAATTTTATTTACACCAAATCTAAGCCTATTAACTAATCCAGCGAGAATACCAACTGGGATCAATTTCGATTGATTCATACATCTGCGTTAACTAAAAAATGATAATGCTATATCAAATTGATGATACGTGACTATATGCAATATCACTTTGGCACAAAATATAAACGATAAAAAGAAGTTGAACGCAGTTTGGTGGGACCCATTTTCGTTTTGATGAACTATTATGAGTAGAAGGCGAAACTGTCTTTCAAAACTTTTTAGTTTAAACTTGAAAGGAGATAACAAAAAGAAAAAATGGTAATTTATTCTGTATATGTAATAACTTATTGTAAGCGTGTGCAAAAATTTGTCAAATGATCTTTTTTTACTATTTTGTGTGTTCATTAGTTTAGCCAATGTTTTACTATTTTCAACTTTAAAAGTTGGATTGTAAACTAAATTCTTTTTAAAACAGCTGCTTTAAAATACTTTATTTTCCTTTTTATTTTTTTTTTAATTGTATATTGTGTACGTGTTGTCGAATCTCGCTTATCATGTTCCTAGATCTCGCCTTGTAAATTTTGAGAATGAATAACGCATTATCATTAAACGTCGTGCATTTCTACGTATTTTACGGTTGTGTGCAATAGGAATATTTTTTGTATTTTAATAAAATTTGCTCTTAATTAAAAGTTAGAATTTTCAAACAAAATATAGCTGCATAGTCGATGAAATTGTAAGAAATAGCTAACGCAGATTTCTGACAGATTGTCGGACAATTAATGGCAATACTCTTTAAATTAATAGCCCTGCTGTTAGTGGATTAGTCCAAAGAAATTATCGTAATATCCCATTGTTTGGTAAAGACATAAACGCGTTCGATATTGAGTGTTTGTTGCTGATTTAAGCTGACAGATGTCTGAAAGTTGATTTAACCTTAAATTTCTATTATATAATCTCGTTTCATAGATTAATGGTGAGTGAAGCGTGCTCAGAGCGTGCTTATTGTCTGCCTCGGACATCCGACAGGGCGACAGAGTGTCGTCGTGAAAAATTAAATAGAATTGTGAGCAACGATGCAAGCAATAACTGGAAATCTACCATACCCTCTTGAATAATTTAGTAATATCCCCTACTCATAGTAAAATAGTACCATTCAACATGAATATATTAAAAAAAAAGTCCCCCTTGTCTATACTAAAATTTTTATGGCATAGCGTATTGAATACAGTTGATTACGTAACAATATTATGTCACAATTCAATACCTATATTGAATACCTGTTGACAATTTCTTTTTACGTCCTATCAATGAAACATGTATACAAAACATTTGTGTCCGTATTTGAGTATATAGTACTTCCTGAAACATTTCCACAATACTATTGTTCATAAGGTACAATATTGTTTATTAAGTAGAAAAACACGTAATTCATAAATAATAAAAAAAAACAGCAATTACAAAAAGGTATTTTTCATTTATAAAAGGAAAGGAATATAGATTTAAAAGCGGCTTTACTAAATAAAAGTTAATTTTATTGAGGTTAAATTATATAAATAGCATAGTTTCGATGGGAATTAGAATTATAAATAGATCAAAAAATTATTTTAATATATGCTTATCAACCTAAAAATGTTGCACAGACAATAATTCATATAGAATATATAATATTTCGATATTTCCTTTTAAAATTCTTCTACATTGCTGTCGATATCTTCTGGAATATTTCGCAGTTCCGTATATCTTTTGTTAAAGTCTTTTTTATAGATCTTTTGAAAGATAAAACTAACTAGTATCAAGAATATAAATATTGCAAAAATGTGCCATGAAAAAAACATAACAACCATCATAACCACTCCCGTATCATCTTGATCCAATTTCTTGGCACCTTTCCTGGGATCATATAAGATAAATGCTATATGTATGAACCACGTGCCTTGCAAAAGTATCAAAAAGCATCTGATAGAGTATAATAGAAAACTCTTTTGGTGTTGAATTTGAAATATTAAGACTATTATTAAAAGTGTCACAATATACAGTAAACAAGTGTGAATAAACACATCCAAGTGTTTCCTATCGTGGAGGTGAAATTTGAATTCTATTAATTCAATTGATAAAGCCAAAATAAGACCAAGATAGTCAACATTGGAGGGCAAACACTTTGAATTTTGAGATATCATATCAACAATTCCTGATAATAAAAAGCCAATATATATACTAACATGCTGACCATTGCCTCGATTTGCAGTTACAAAATTTCCTTTTGCATAAATAATTTCACCTATGGCACCTATAATCGAAAGGATAGCTTTGAGTATACCCTCTAATGGAACTTTCCTTTTCCATATCTCCACCGATATTGATGCTATTTCAAAAAAATAATAATTTTAAGACGATTCAGACTAGTTTAACATTATCATCACATATGTTACTATGGAAATAGGTAAATATTATAGACTGTGATATCTATTTTGTTGTATTGGGATTTTCGATCAATAAAACACAAGTAAATATACAGTTGGTATTAATCATCTCATTTATAATGTTTCGCATTAATTGTGCATTTAATTCCATTCAAAATTATGCCAATGGGAATATAAAATGTACAATTTTCGATTTGAATTTCGCAATGATACAACGAAGGTCATTATGACTATTGTTTCTTATTCTGTATCAACTAATTATCTGGGCAAAAGTAGGTTAGAAATTATACTACATCATTATATTAATACTAAATATAGATAGATAGCTAGATAGAGAGTGCTATATAAATATATAAACTTTTTTCACCTATAAACAACAGTTACTAACCAGAAAATATATATTCTCTAGGATGACTGAAATATCTTCTTAATCCAAAAAAAATCCATATTAATCCAAAAAATATAAAAAAGGAACCGGGCAGGGTGTGGCCTTCAAAACTACCCATTTCTATATACTGTATCGTGCATTAGTAGAGGGCACCACTTAATGAAAGTTCAAGTGATCATGTATACTGACTGCAATAAAGTTTATATCTATTTCTTCGATTGCCAATAAATAGGTAAGGTCATACGAAGATATAATCAAATTCAAATGTTACTATACTTCGGACTGGGCCTAAACATATATTACTTTATATTACCAAAAATGACATTGAAAGTAAAAAAACAAAAGCCACTTAGTTTTTATCTAACATTTACTATTTTATACGATAGATGGGGCATCAATAGAGATTTCTATTCTACTTAAAAGAGCTAAAGCTAAAGCTCTTTTAAAAAGAACAAAAAAGAAACATTTTTTTTTATTAAAAAATAACAATAAGTTTAATAAATCGATATGTTTTTCTACTTTAAATAGAAAAAAATTATTGAATAATAGTTGTTCTTCTTTTATTTTAATTTTTTCATTGAAAATATTAAAATATAGAGAAAAAAAAGATAATTTCAAAATGTTTTAAAATTTTTATAAAAGAACATATGTTGTGAACTTTGTTATTATTTCAATAAATAATCAGTTGTGTATCAAATCTAGATTTAACGAACTAATAAAATGGTAATAGATAAGGAGAATAATTAATAATTTTTTTCCAATTATTTCTGATTTACATGATAGAAATTCTTCAATTAGCCGAAACTGTTAAAAGTATTTCAACTATTCAATGTATATTAAATATATAATATATATATATATATATATACTAATAATAATTTATAAATAAATATCATAAAATATTGTTTTCGTATTCATAGTTATATTTCAAAAGATTCCAATTATGGATTACTATTTTCCTCACTTTTTACGGCGTGGGTTTTGTTAATAAAATACTCTTTTAGTAGGAACGATAATATTGAAAAATGTATGAAAAATATATGCCTATAAAGTATTTACTTCAATCCTTGTTCAAGAAATGTAAATACCTTAGCTTATTGATTTTATTCTTTTTTTTTAATTCTTGTTTAGATTTTTTTTAAATCATTATTATTATCATTTGTCATTATTATTATCATTTTTTTGTAAACAAACAACAACAAACAACGCTCTTTTTCTTAAAGAAAAATAGCCAGGACAAAAAAAAGCAGTTTTGCACACGCGAAAAGAAATAATTCAGCAAAGATAAGTTAAAAAACAGAATTTTTTTCACATGGTAGTAATAATTGTTTTTTTTGTAGCAGTTTGTGAAAACGTTATGCAGTTTTGAGATTCTCTTTCAGAAGCCATTCGGCCTAGGAGAATGCTGTATAAAAAAAAGAAAGAGAAAAAATTGCAGATAGTTAATTTTGCAGAAAAAATGAAAAGATTGAAATTATGAATAAATATAAAATTATGTAAAGGGAAAAACATTATGAAAAATATAAGCGAATATAGAGAGAGCTAAGCTTTTTTCTTTGACTTTTTTTCTTCAATAGAAAATATACGATCATTTATTAAGGTATTAAGTTATTTTAGTATAACTTGATATTTTCCCCTATCCCCCGTTCGATTTATAGCAAAACACATTGGATAAACAAGCTTAACCAACAATAAAGAGGTAGAGCCATTAGCCTTGAACTGTATAGTCTTCAGATTACCTTAACCAATTACGAGTATTAATTGGTACTTTGTGAACGTGCACTCTAACATACAATATTTATACTTGTAATTAATTCTGTTTTGCTATAAATTTTAATTGTCAATCATATTTCTTTCGTGAAATATTTAAGAGAAATATTATGAAAAGTAATAATCATCATCATTGAAACTGTGTAATGTATGCAGTTTAAAAGGCTGATCCTTACCAAAGTGCCCCAAATTTGAATAATGACTAGGAGTTTTTGGTGAGGCGCATGAATATTCGTCTAAATCGTCCGTCGAGTGTCCAAATCTATTTTTGGTTATACACGGTTCACTTTTACTTCTTCTTATTTTTGGTAAACTCTTTAAAATCATATCCATCTTAGATAAAATACTCTGAAAGATAGGTCTATCGTCCCTATTGAACTTAATACAATCGCTCGTTAATCGGACAAAGTGTTTTGGCATATCGGATCTTATGGCGCTCATTTCGGGGCGTAGATATCCTTTTCCCACCATGAATAAGATTTGATCTTTGCTATAGCTTGCAGCGTGCATGTAAGGCAACTGTCCAGTTTGTAGTTCATAAAGAACAACACCAAACGCATAAACATCAGACTGGAATGTGTATGGCATTTTATCTTGCATTCGAATTACTTCCGGTGCTATCCAGAGAATAGAGCCCGTAGGTTGTTCGAACTGAAGGAAAAATTGAATCAAAAATTTATATTTGTTATTTCTTTAAATTAAAAAAAATCACTCAATTAGCAGACTTGTGTTTATTATTAGTTTCTTTTACTTAGAGATTATTACCTGCTGAGATCCTGACCATCGAGTTTTTACTGTAGCCAGACCGAAATCACCAATTTTTACAGTTAAATCATCGTGTAAAAAGATATCTACAGAAAAAAAATTTTGGATATGTTTATTGAAGAATTTTGAGTTGCTAATATGTATAAATAGAATGATACTAACTGTTGCTCTTAAGGTCTCTATGAATTATACTCTTTGCGTGCAAATAATCCATGCCTTGGGAAGTTTGTTTTGCTATTTCCAATATTTCGCTGACCAGAAACCGATGTTCGTTGACATGTAAATGTTTATACAAACTAGAACCTTCGCACCATTGCGTAATAATAGACAGATGTGGTTGGCTTGCACATCCTATAAATAATAATATATTCGTATGCCGCGTTCTTCTTAATACGGCAACTTCATTTTTGAAAGCCTGCAGTTGAGCTGGAGTTGGTTCTTTGACATTCAATTGTTTTATAGCCACTTGACCGTGCCATTGACCTATGAATAGAAGGTTTTACATAAAATCTAGTTGTTGAATTAACTCGTATTAATAAATAATTACCTAAATAAACAGTTCCAAAGGAACCTGAGCCTATCCGCCTACCGATTTGAATTTCATTTGAAGGTATTTCCCAATCTTCATTTGAATCTCGTCGAGGCCTTGTATTTTTACGTTCTGCACCGGATTTTGCTCGGGACCGGACTGTTTGAGAAGTTGGTGATGTACTTGTTGAATGTTTTGTTGGAGAAGATCTGGGGCTTGTTCCTAAATTAATTACATTAAATGAGCATTTTTGCAGCGAAAAGGACAGGATAAAAAATCAAGATATAAATAGAAAACAGTGCTTTTCGACAGATTAAAATGATTGAGGAAAATTAACGATATTAATAATAAAAATAAAATAAAATAACTCTCCTATGTAAAAAAGAATTTCCTTCCCTAAGAAACAGTTTTAATGTATCCATTTATAAGTTGTTAAAGAATTAAAAACACATTAGAATCCCTTCCAAAAGCGCCTAATAATATATAAAGTATATTTATAAATATATACCACCAATTTATATGAATTTCTTGTCCTTAAAATACTACCATGCAAAGAAATAATGATAAAGGGCCAAGATATCGATCACCTGATAAATTACTGGTATATGACGAAGAAGGCACAATTAAAAAACGTTTCGCCGATAATTTCGAATTCGACAAATCTGGAAAGTTTTATGAGAATGGGAAAATTTTATTTGCATTTCCCAAACATTAAATTTTCAAGAAGAAAACAAAACAAGACAAAAAATTAGACACTTTTTATGAATGAAAAAACTATTTGTAAATTAAATATGGCTCTTGGAGAAATTCAATATCAAGTTTCTAAAATCTCCATTAATATTTAATTTAATTTATATGCTATTTTTGTATCCTTGATTTTCAAATTATAATAAGAGAGTACAACTTAAAATGAAAAGACTAGATTAAAGGTAAAACGATGAAAAGAAAAAAATCATTTAAATCATTTCACAGACAATAAATAAAGATAAAATATTTACTAACCCTCGGAAGGATAGAAAGATCTGCTGTCGTAATCGTCCTGTGGAATCATTAAAGCAAATCATTGCATATTTGTCTTTAAAAATTGATTTCATTATAGCATTTTTTAAAAAATGGGGTTGCTTTTTATCCCTTCCAACTAAGACAACTTTAAGGATTAAAAACGTCGGCTTAAACTAATAACTATGTTATTACTTTTCCAACTATAATGAAATGAATACAAGTCCTTTCAGTTTACTAACACCATAGAAGAGGTAAAAACTCGGAGCTAGAACTACCCATTTAATTTTTATAAGTAAAAGATACTTTTATACAAAGTAATTTTTTTTTTATACATCCGTAAAGAGGGGTTGGTTCATGTATTCATTTTTTATGCGTGAAAGAAAACTAGGCTGATAGATATTTAACTGATCCTACCCTTCTGTAAAACTGGCTTGACCCGTTCTGAATGCTCCTACAAGATTAAAAAAGAAACTGACATTAATAATTTTAAAAAGCAATTACCTTTATATCGCGTCCAGCACCTCCAGGTAGTTGTATCATATTGATACTAACATTAGGCGCAGACGTCGATCGAGCACGATGCTGATTGGGCTGAGGCATTTTCGAACGGCCTCTGTCCATACTGTCCAGCTGATCGTCATCCGCACTTAATATGCTATGATTATCTCTCGTTTATATTTCATTTTAATAATCAACATAAGACATAAACATTTGAAAAATAACAGCAAATTCATTTCAATATAATCCGAAATAATCATCGAAATGATAACGCTTATTTAATAAAAGTGTTAAGATTCTTTGAAATTAAGTACTATGTTAGGATCGTTACTTAAGCTACTTCAAATACTTACAGTTTAGCTCTTACATGGCGGTCTTCTTCCGTTGTTTGACAGGCAGGAGCTTTTGGTGCACATTTCTGGTGAACCTTGATTAAGCAAGTCTGACACCTTATTCCGTGCACCAACAATTTTTGACAAGAATCACAGTATGTCCAGGAGAAAAACGTTTTTCTAACATAATTGTGATTACTTGTTAATACAGATTCTTTAGCCCAGTTTTTTCTAGTGTCAATTTTGATATGCGTCCCTCCTAAGCGTTCTAATTTAGTTCCCCAGTCGATAACGACCCTGAAGAAAGTTAATAGTATTACTAGTATTGATCATGGAAACAAAGAGGCAAGAAATAAACCACAAAAAATATGAAAATAAAACAAATATTATATTTTTCTTTCTTTCTACTCTTTCACTTATCCATATAAATCTTATTATAAGATATTTAAATCGTGATTAAAACTGCAACGTATAAAAAATAAATAAATACATTAAAAAACATGTAGGAAATAAAAATAGTTCTTTCGTCGTACTAAATATTTCACTAACAATGAATATGATCAAATTTAAAGAAATGGTAATAAAGTTTAGCTAGAAAATAGTATTTTCCTGATATAAAAGTTTTATATTAACAAACACCAACACAAGTTTGCACAATAATTTCATAAAGAAAGCCATCTCGAAGTAAAACTATATATTCAATACTTAAATATCATTATAAACGAACTCATGATAATAAAATTTAAGTAAAGAAGCTTTTTGTTAAAAACAATACGTACTTGTTTATCATATTAACAGCAACGCAATTGTGACATTTTAGTTCTCTTCTTTGCATCGGTTTCGTTAGAGCGTCAGCTAAGGATTGCCCAGGTTTCACTATCACCTAAAAATAGAAAGTAAAATATAGTTAGTCAATTACCTGAAAAATATTCATTTTTAATATATATATATATATATATATATGGATATATTCAAGAATACATAAATGGATTAGCGTGTAATTTATCTGTCGCAAAAAACTTCTACACACTTATACATATAAAGTGTGTATATACGCCAATGTAAGCATATATATGTAATCGATAAGTCAAGTAACCCTACAACGCCCACGCACAACCTTTAATAGGCAATCCAAATCTGAGTATTCAACTTTTCTTCTCAGGAAGAACGTTCTACGTCGTTGAATTTCCGGAAACCTTATAATAATCGGTTTTGAGGGTTGCACAAATGTAGATGTATCAAATGTTGGAGATTTTGGTACTCTCCAGCAAATACATTTTTTCAGACTCGGTAACTCTGCATAAAGATGAACGAAGATACAGATTTCAAATTCACTTTCAGTGCTTGTTCTATTCAGGGAAATTAAGGGGCCACTTGAAATGAAAAATTGACTTACTTTAAATTAATATTTTCTAAATATAATCATTCTAAATAGATTATAACAGATATATATATATATACATATATATATATATATATTTATACACACATAGTACATTAATATATATATATATATATATATATATATATATATATAAATATAAATATAGTATATGTGAACTTATTATATATAAAATTTTAGTATGGATTAAAAACTTATATCCGATTCTGTCAAAGGTAATCGCCCTTTGTTGAGGTTCTTTTGAGGGTATTATGAGGAATATATGTGCAAATCCATCAAAATATGCCTGTACCTTCTTTCATCCATGGCGTAATTGAGTCAAATGACATAGAGAAATTGTCTAATCTAGTAGCACTACCATAATTATCATACTCGAATACAAAATTAGTTTCTGATTCAATTTCAATTTTTAAATCGTTCATAGAATTATATGGTTTACAAACACAGGGATATTTTGTTTCAATATCACTTGAGACTCCCATTAAACGTCTCCGAAATTGCCGCGAACGTAGACTAGAAAAATGTTCATCATCCGACAAAATAGGGTCAACAGGAGATATTCCTTTTTAGCCAAAGAGGATTAAAACAAATTATATAGAGTAAATAAAGTCAGATAAATATATGTATATATATATATATATATAGAAAATATAAATTACTAAAATAGTCATATACATTAAAATATGTTTTTTAAAATTTAAAATAATATATAAATATATATCTACTATATATATTATTAAAAAAGTTGTTCTTAGTTCTTTTATTTAAATCCATTAATTATTGTAATAATACATAAAAAGGGATTCTTTTAATAAATTTTTACATATTTCTATAAAAATATCTTTTTAGTTTATAATGAAATAATACTATTTTGCAAATATCACTTTAATTTCATTACATATGGCATATACTTCAGAAGGCTATATGGTTATTTATCTGAGTTAAAGAATTTATGGAATTTTTTTTACAAAAAATATCTAACATTTATATTCACTTGAATCGCTATAAATAATTTCATTTAAAAAAAACTGTCCAAATCGATTATTTTGCAACTTAAATAATCTCATGGTGTGAGCGATAATATAGTACAAAAGTTTTTAGTACTTGAAAAATTTTCTGAAAAGTTAAAATTAATAAATATAGCAGTTTTTTTAAGACAAGATGAGAATTTTAAATAATTCTAAAATATTAACACAATTGGATTGATTATATCTCTGCAATGAATGGATGCATTGCATTTTAAAATGTCCTTAAGTAATTTTTAGCAGTTTCCTACGAATTTTTACAATCTGACCTCTAAATGACTAAATTTAAAAGAAATCCTCTTTGCCTTCGGATATAGTCAATTGCCTTCTGAGAAGAGACGGATTTGGATACAAAGGCGTGCATGGGCCTTCTCTGTTCATCGAGGGCGAGGAAAAGGAGAGCCTTGGTGTAGGCGGAGGAGCTAATCTTCCGCATCGGAACTCTTCTCTATATTCCTTCATCACTCGCAATATACTATACACCGTCCATCTTTTCCAGTCGGTGTAGCATTGAATAAATACGTACTGCTTATTAATCGATGTTCAAAACAGCTGGGAAATAATAGTGCCTAGATGGCAGATGCGGCGGCAGATGTTATAACCCCTCTGAATATAGTTTAATAAATTTACAAAAAAGAACTTACAGTCGAACTTTGTCCGTGTGGCATATGAGCTTTAACTAAATTCTCTCCAATTTTTTCCAGTTTGTTCTGAAATAACGAGGTTAAAGTACATATTTTCTCTAAAATTATCTTTCAGGCATACATGATTTGATCCAGCATTATTTGTGACTGGAACAGATGGGTATGAGTAAGTAAAGGAATTGGGTGTTGACGGTGTCCTGACGATCTCCTCAACTTCCTCTTCCCTTGTTTGTTCTATAACTTCATTTTGTTGATTATCAAGCTCATCTCTTTCTTTTTGATAACGATTTATTATATCATCTAGTTCATCTCCTGCTTCTTGTAATTCATGAATCTTTTGCGTTAAATTTTCGTATTCCTGAAAAAAATGTTCACACAAACTATAACTCTTAGATCAATATTCTTACACCATAAATTCTTTAAAGCAGATTATAGCTTGTGTACAAAAATCACTTTGACACTAATCATCATCTACGTTGTATACTAAATTATCTCTTTCCCTCTAAAAGGTCTTTGATCATAAATTTTAGGATATATCTCAACATCACTGAAAACTGATTAATAACTACTTAAGCTGTAAATTAACAATATTCAGTATCAATCATTCTTTTATAAATACTGAAGATATTGCCATAAATAATTTGTTTTTAAGATAAAAGATTAAAAAGTATATAATCTATCTCGTGCTTTTGAACTCTAAAACTTTAAAAAGTAATATAATTCAAATAACAAAGAAATAGTAGTGAATTATAATTTTTTCCTTGTTAAACTGTTTTGTTTCTTGGATGTATATACGCATCTGTACCATATAGTTAAATATATTTAATATAATGGTCCTTGTAGGTTTAAAGATTATGTTCAAATTAAAAAAGGCAAATAAGCCAAGGATGTTGACATCGGGTTAAAGCCCTCAAAATTCGTGGACACTCATTTATTTGAGAAAAACATGTAAATATGTCAATAAGGGGATGTTGGAATTTTTTGGAGATTTGAGAAGTTTAACCTCATCTAACAAGGTAACCCTTGATATTATATCTATAAATGTGGGTAAATGGAAGAGATAATTTCTCAATCTAAGGGTTTAAAAAAAAATATATATATATATATATATATATATATATATATATATATACTGTATATTATTAAAAGCGGTTAGATTCTAGAGAAAATTCGAAGTGTCCACCATTTTTATTAATGTTTCTTTCTATAAAAATAGTTCTAATGAAAAATTAATAATATAAAACACAAAATTCTTTTTGACGATAGAATTATGTTTTATATAAAAAAAAACACATTTCATTCTTATATCTAAAATTAAAATATCATTTTTAAAATGTTGTTTTAAATCTCATATTTTATTTCTAATAAGAAGTTCATGATATTTTTCCAAAAATAGTTACATTAGAATTTTATAATATTAATAATTATGTATATTATTTATGAATAAGAATTCTCGAATTCAATTTCTTAAAAATGATTATTTTTTTATCTTTGGAATTATTTTGGAATATATACTTAATTCTTTGATTTTATTTTTTTTTGTTAACTTTAGAATTTTTTTTTCTGAAAAATATATATTATTATTTTTAATTCTTTATAGCTGTCTATTTAATGAAAATTACATATTTTATATTTTATTATTAGTCAACATAAAAATTCCGAAATATTAAGGTACTGTTTGAAAACTGGTACATAGCGAAAAGCAAATTTTCTAATAATTGATTATTAGTTAAATATAATTACCTGTATATACATCGGTGGGGGAGGTTGAACTCTACCAAATTCGGCATTCAATTCTTCTAAACATTTTAACTTTATTTGCATAATATTTCGCTTGTCCAATCGCTAATGAAAAAAATATTATTTTATAATTAAAAACTAAAGATGAGTTTGTCCAAATTATTATAATTGTAGCATTAATATCAATTAAAAAAATTTGTCTCTGTATAATAACTACAGTCAATATTCTAGTTATTAACTAAGACGATTTTCGTCTGTTATGCAATTGTCCTGACATGACTGACTTCAGTCAGTATTTTTAGAGGTGCTTGCAGACGATATGTAATACATAGCTCTAAGAAGCCTATAACGTTTATGAACAGTAATTATTTATAAAACAACCAAAAAACGGGCAAACTATACAACGAAAATCGTGACAAATGGCTTAATAAGAATACCAGGCTAGATGCCTGGATAAATAAGCATGTTATAGAAACGAATCAAAGATCGAATGCACAAATGTTCTTATTATCTGCAATTCGTACCTCTTTCTCGAGTTTGTCTATACACTGTTGCAAATCTCCTATTCGATCAGCCATCGAGTCGCGTTTGTCGCGCGGGTTTACCGAACTATACTCGTCGGCGGCCATTTTGAAAATTGCGACGCCAGTATCACGTGATTGCTCCCTTTTTTCGTCTTGTGTGATGTAGGCTTAGTTGTCTCAAGGTTAGATAATTTTCTGTAACTTTTATACACTTTAAACAGCTTAAACTAGCCTTCTGTGTTTCTAAATAAAATTTGAAATGAATTCAATCGAAAATATGATTCTTTTCCGATCTTGAAAATACAATATCTTGCAAATTTCAATATTGGGGATCTTTCTTTCATTTTTCTTCATTTCATTGACTTTTTTTTTTACAATCGTTAACTTTTTCAGCAATTAGTTTACAACTCGATTTTATTACTAACGTTTTTACGGTATGTCATAAATGGAAAAAAAATAAGTTATCAAAAAATCAGCCTCTATAGATAATACATTGATCAGTAGTAAATTTCCGTCACGCGGTAGTACCAACTCTACGTCACGTGACTCGAATGTTGAACCGGGAATTGAAAAACGGAATATTTTTATCCATAACACAAATGCCAAAAATTAGGTAAAGGAAGATGGCAACAATACAAGTATTCCCCTTGGTAATTAATGAAATTCTTTTCATTTTCTTTCCCTAAATACTCTTTGTACAGAATCTGCAAGCGATATAAAAATAAAACACGCAATATATAGCTCTGATAGGAAAATGTAGGAAAGAAGAGTCTATTTTTAAATTTATTCGGTTTTATTTGCTTCCGAATCGATGAATAAATTCTTCTATCTAACCTAAGCTTGGTTCCCCTTACTTCCTGTATAGCGAAGAATATAGTTTGGCAAATTAGAAACTAGGCAAAAATTACTCTTTCTTATTCCATTAAAAGAGAGAGAAAGACGAGAAAAAAGATAACATATATACTAAATTCAATACTAACTCTGTCTAAAATAGACATATAAATAATTATATGAAATATTTTGTATATTTTATATACGATGTCTGTTTTATTATCATTAACCCAAAAATGATAGGAAAGGTATTTTTTGTATGCCACACTATCAACTTTACCAGTCTTCTCAAATTAATTCTTCGTTAATAGAAATTTTTGCTGACTATGGATGCTTCCTTTCAGTTAGTAACTAAATCTCAGTAACTCATCCTCTACAAGTTGGAAAGTTAAAACAAAATCAATACAATACCTGTATTTGAAAAAATGTATATTCTTTATAGAGATGCGTCAGCAAAAAAAAACATCTCTTTTGATTGTCTTGCACAAGCATCTTCATCTAGTTTCTAGTGTACTTTGTCTTATTATGCCTCATAAACATTTTAAAATTCTCTGAAGTTGGCATAGTTTTTCCCTTAAAAATGAATGAATAAATCTTTTAAGTGTTCAAGTATATTTCTCTTGAAATTTTGTCCTGCTTAGAAAAGCATTAATAAGTTTTCAACGGTTTGCCTATTAAGAATAAATATCTATATTTTCCTTGTTTTATTAAGGGGGAAGAGTAAATATTAATTAAACTGTTTTTCAATACATGAAATCATTGAAAACTAATGTTTAAGAATTTATTTCTTGTATACAATTGGTTACGAAAGTAAAATAATATTACGCGTGACTAGGCATTTGAGAGCGCAAAGAGATATATCATTAAGTTAAAATATGCAACTATCAGCCTACAAAACATATTTTATTCGATTTTCTAAACAAAGATTTAATCAATGTACTACAAATAGTCTACTGGTCATTTGATAAAATGTTTTTATTTATTTGCATTGGGCAAACATAAGCAATTCTTGATTTTCTATTCAAAAATGTAAATTGTGTTGAATTTAAAACTATTTAAATTATAAATAAATAGTTGTTATTCAACTTTTAAGAGAAAAAGAATAATAAATATTTTCAATTTTAATGAAAACTTTTTTAACCGTTTAAAAAGTTAATTACTCTGTTATATATATTTGAATATATAAATATTATATTATATTTTATGATAATGGATTATGTTCCTGTTTTTATCATATAAAGTATATCAATATTTTTAATGCACTAAAAGAAAGACAAAAAAATACTGTTAATTTAAAGAAGCAACTGAATGTTTTTATGTTTTTGAAACAATACATACGTACTAAGTATGATGTATAAGAATAATGATAAAAAAATGGATATATATATATATTTTTTTTTTACATAATATATGCCTACTTATACGTATTTTCTATATACATATGTATACAAGTAGTGTTGTATTTTTAAACGTCATAAAGCCTTTTATATAGACTTTTTTTTTTACTATGTACTATTATATACTGTGTTTATAAATTTCAACCGCCTTATATTTTATTAATATGAAAAATAACTACAGTTTGTATAGATAGTTATAGAAAAGTTAGAAAATTATTGCTCAACGTCTAAAAGATATCAACTGAGTAGTAACAGTTAATTAATTATGTGATTTCTTAAATGTTGTTATCATTCGATGTGAGAGAGAGGTTGCGGCGTAGATGATTCTGGAATACTTTCGCTTAATGATTTGTCATAAATATCGTCAAATTGTTGAGTATTTCTTCTGTTTTCTTCGTAAATGCTATTCTCCTCAGATTTGAGAAAGTTACATAGATAATGTTTCATTTCATCGTTCAGCCAGCATCTGACTAGAACATTTACTATCGCTTGAATGATGCTTGTTGCAGCAAAAAGATGTTGTAAAATGTCCTTATTAAATTTAAATGAAAAATGAATTAATAGACATAGCGTTGTAAATAAATAGCAAGAGCAAAGGTTGCCAACAAGGAAACCTCTCCTTATAGAGCAAACGTCTATATTGGTAATGTGTTTTGGTTTCGAGAGCATTTTAAGGCAGATAATAATTGCTGTACTTATAACTACTATTCCGAGAACATACGCTGCAACTATTGTCGAGTAAAATACGGTATCGTCGTTTGTAATATGGCACCTGTTAGTAATTTGTTTCTTAAAATATCACTTATTGTATCTTTTAATATATGCAATTAAAAAGAAAGTAGAATCTTTTGAACGATTAGCAGCCTTTTTTTATCTTATGGCCAAAAGAGCTTGTGATAATTAAATTCAATCAATAAAAGTCTATGAAACTTTTATGACATTTATTATGTTATGAACATTTTTACATGTTTTTTTTCCCTCTTTATATTCTTATATGATTAAAAAATGATTCTAATTTCTTTTTTTGTAAAAGGAAATATTAATAAAGTAGAATGTAAAATGAAAAAGTTATTACTTTTGGTCAGTTGGGAAGAAATTATCTTTATCCGCAACCAAAACAATTAGAGGTATAGCTAATGATATTACTGAAAAGAATGGCAAAAGTTGTATTAGATTGTTTAATTAGTTAAGCTAATTAATAGATAATATATAGAGACAGGTATATATAATAATAATAATAATAATAATAACAATAATAAAAATTTACCCCAAGCTATACATATTCTATAAATCATTATATGACTTTCATAAGAGATAAATATATTCGAAAATCCTCTATATAAATCTAATGCTTCTATGACTCTCCAAACCATAGAAAGTAGAGTAGACAGGTGAAAGACGAAAGCTACCGTTATGCAACCATTTTTATTTGTAATAAAATTTCTTAGCGATGCTATAATTAAGAAGATGTAAAAAAAGAGATTTGAAGTCTTTAAATGGATAACAATTTGACTTTGATGATCTCCTCTTTTATAGCTGTTTTTGAAATAAGAAATAAAATTATGCCCCTATTTAAAAAATAATAT